GTTGGCCTGTTGTCGTGTTACCCTTTCCTCATACTCACTGCTTTGGGACATCCCTATCATAATGGATATGAAGATATGTTGTGTCCTGGCACGTATAATTAACAAAACAAAACATTTTTTAAAAATGGGTGTTTTGGTTTACCTGTAGTAATCCTTTACTTAGAGTACATTACAGGTTACAAGGCTCCCACCTTTTCCTTCGTGGTTCATGGCTTCAAAAACTGCAGCCTGCCATAGAATAGAGGGCATATTTTCCAATGGTGACACCTGCCCCAATAACAACTGTTACCGTCTCTCACTTTGTAAAGATTTCCACTCATTTCCTGTTGTAGCAACAGTACGGGAAGAGAAGGAAAATCTCCCAAAATGAAAAAAAAAAAAAAAAAAACACAAGGGTTCTACCAGTTCCCTACTTAAAGAGTAGGCAACCTCAGCACTGCAGCTGCTGTGGGTCTACAGGTCCCATAAGACACTGCAAGACTGGCAAACACAGGCATGACTCCCAAAGTCAAGGACATGATAAATTTGTAGTTTCACTACAGCTGGAGCACCAAGGTTTCCTAATTTGCCATACTCTATCCAAAAGCCCAAAAAAGCTTTAGGTACTCTTTATGGCTCAGCTACATTTGAGATAATTAAGTGTTCTTGCATGGCAAGACCACTTACTGTTATCTCACATATATATTCTTATTTTTATAGCCGAATGTACCACCCTAACTCCTCCCAGTTTTTATACTACATAGACAGTAATATACTGAAACGTGCGGATTGTTCCCGATTGGTGTGCTATTACATTGTGGAACGTTTCGCCAAATGGTTCACGAAATATCGGCGTTTTTGTGTGGTGACAAGGCGGAATGTTCAAAACTAGAGCTGACAAATCGTGAGTGGGAGCTGAAAAATCAGGACATGATCTCTAAACTGCTATCACTCCCTCATTTTCAAGCCCACACACACAAATCTTATATCAAAATGTTCAGTTATCCCTGCTGCCACTAAAAATGTCCATGGCTAAGATATAGGCCTAATAGTTTTCACAATATGACCATTTGTTTGCAAATCACGCCGCCCATTGCCATTCATTGAAACTCCACTCTAGCCACCTCAAATTTGAAGGGCAATTTCTAAACTACAACTGTGCCTTCATTTTTAATATTTCAGAGACATACTATGCATCAAAATGTAGGTCTGGGTCTTGTGATTCTCACAATATAAAGCTCTTCAGTGTAGGATTTAGAATTTTTAAACTACAACCGTTTGAAGATGGCAACCACCAGTAAAGTGAGCAAGTTGGAGCAGTTTGTTTTTAGCCGCTCTTCTCTGCCCTTGCTGTAGTGAGTTGCCATAGGAACCCAGGTGTGTGAGCAGGCAGTGACAAGCCACTCCACCCAGTTACTCCGGCCACTCCAGTTGTAGACTACTGGTGGAGGCAAGAACACTTCACACAATTTCCCCAGAAATTGTAGCTTTTCTAGTTACTTCATATAATTTCAACATCTGACAATCTGTAAACCACTAAAGTCTTTGCGCTTCAAAATAGATTATCTCGCACAACTCCAGCATCCCCCCCTACTCTGCCACCAGAATTAAAAAAAAAAAAAGCCTTAAAAACATCTTTTTTTTTTTGTGTCTTCTGGCTGGTCCAATAGCATCACTGCAGTCTCCCATACATCTTTGAGCAGTGGAGTGGGGGCAAGTATTATTCTGAGCAGCGTCCACATAATAGTGTGAGCATGGCTCAGGTCTGGAGAACTGTGAATCCCGAAAGCATGACGACACCCCCCTAGAGGTGTGTGTGTATATGACCATGCTGGACTCACAGGAAATGGGAAGAATGACAATGATGTTCTGCAGTGAAGAAGAGTATGGAGAGAATAAATGCAATGACTGACTGACTGACTCACACACACACACACACGATAGCTCAAAAGAAAAAAAAAAAAACTATTTAAACTGGAGTTCTACTTTAACATTGTGTCATTAAAATAAAAAAAAATTGCAGTGTAGTTGAGCCCCTACAGGCAGCTACATAAATTTCTTCTAAATCATAACATACCACCTTACATCTGCATTACAACATAGATTCAAGTTAATAAGGGTTACCAGTGTTATCATAGCCAGGCACTTCCCTGACACACAGTTCTATTTTCACTTACAGATCAGTGATGACCACATTGTCCTCAAGTAACCTTCCATTGGGCCTTCTACGAAATCCAGTGTTTTAATAGTTTCAGAACCGAGGCCAGCAAGAATCTGCTACAAATGTTTTGCAATATACACACACTGGCCACTTTATTAGGTTTTTTCGTGATTCAACAAGGTGTTGGAAACATTCCTCAGAGATTTTGGTCCGTGTTGACATGAGTTACTGTTGCCATTCTATCACCTCGAACCAGTCTGCCCATTCTCCTCTGACATCAACAAGACATTTTCGTCCACACAGCTGCGGCTCACTGGATATTTTCTTTTTCAGACCATTCTCTGTAGACCCTAGAGATAGGTGTGCGTGAACATCCCAGCAGATCAGCAGTTGTTTAAATACTTAGACCAGCCCATCTGGCACCAACAACTATGCCACATTCAAAGTCACTTAAATCCCCTTTCGTCCCCATTCTGATGCTCGGTTTGAACATCAGCAATCTGTTTTCAGCACATCTAGATGTCTAAATGCGAAGAGTTTCTGCCATGTTATTGGCTGGTTAGCAATTTGTGCTTCCAAGACATTGAAAAGGTGTACCTCATAAAGTGGCTGGTAGTGTATGTAGTAGAAATAAAGCGTATCAAAATTTATAGATGTAGTCGCTGCATTAGACTTTTTTTTCCCCATCTGTCTGTAATATGCCTCATATCCTAGGTTGTCATGCCCCCCCCAAATCAGATGTCAAGAGTCCCGCGACCCCCTTCTATCACAGTGCACCCCTCTTACCTTGTGCTGCTGCTGGTAAGAAGCTGGAAAGCAAAGTGCAGAGTCTGGAGGAGGACCAAAAGAGGGCTGGAGTTAGCTAAATGCTGAGACCAAGAAAGGTAGAGATGAGGGGGTGTTGCGGTTGTCCAGAAAGGCACAGGATCTGTATTAGGAGTTCTGTTCTCTCTGCTGCAGACTGCTGAGACAAAGGGGAAGGGGAAGGTGGGGGGGGGGGGGGGTTGCTGCAGGAGAGGTCTGAGGGCCGGCTTTGTGTTTGACACATGTGCTCTAGACTGTTCCTATTTTGGACTGCGGGCGGATATACATATGCCTGCACATTCAGCCTGCATTTGAAGACTAAACCTGCTGAGGAGGTGGTGTGGGCACAGAACCATTACAAGGAAGGTGCAAGGAGAAGAGCCCTGTGAACATCACAGAAAAGAAAAGTTTTACAACTGACAAACCAAAGCAAAAAAGATGTTATTCTTTAGAATTAAACCCCTAGGCAATCATTTTTTTTTTTGCCTAGCATTTGGTTTTACTTAAAAGAGAATGCCACTTTGCCTATTCAGGACCAAGTGACACATTGTCCTGCTAGCCCATAGCATGATGCTCACCCCTTGCTGAGTTCCCCTATCACTGCATTCATCTGTCAGAACTAGTAGAAAAACCTTGTACATATAACCATCTTCTCTTACCCCCAGGATGCAGTGCTTTAGGCCTGAGCGTCCAATTGCAAGGCCCAAACACTGTCACGTGGGGAGAGGAGAAGATCACTGACTCTGTGAAAGCTCCAACACTGAATGACATGGGATTTATTTAAAAAAATAAAGATTAGATCCATGGCTCCTATAGATAAATGAAACAGCAGGGAAAAATCATGTCATAACTACATAAAATAATGTGTTCTCCCCCAGTTAATGAGAAAAATCATACTTGTTTTACTAAGGGATAATCTAATACAGAGAAATACCTACCATACTCCAAGGTCCTGCAGCAGCCTGCACTCTGATCCAATGGCAGAAAATGGGCAAGTACTCTTACATCATCATGTATAATGCAGGACCAGTGATGCCTGATGGTCCTGCATTGTTAGTGATAACATCGGAGAGAGGGCTAACAGATCCAGTCGGAGACCCGTAAGAAGTGAGGCTTCAGGGGACTGGTTGTCACAAACCGAACAATCAAGGAGGAAAACTGTGGGACTGTGGAGTAAGGCAAGTATTCCCTATCACATCATTATCAAGTAAAAGGAGCATTATATTCTTCATCAGCTTATATTCTTCATCAGCTGGGTGCAGGGCATAATGTTTTGGGTTTTTTTTTGTGCTTTGCATTAGGCTTTAAAGATAGATTTTTTTTTTTCTATTTAAAGATGGATTTTCACCTCAGTGGTTATACTAAATTAAGCAGCTTTTAATGAGATGGCTTTGCATAGTTAGCAGCCATGATTAGGAATACCATATTAACTACTAGAAGTGCTGATAAACTCAGCCAGGCCCGCCGTTCTCTGCCACGAGCCTGCACGTGACTAGGCTGCAATGATCACTATGAAGAAATGCAGCCTGGTCTTTTAATTACTAGCTGTCTGGACCTACAAGTGGAACCTCTCAAACCCAGAGGAGATTATTCCAACACTTCTGGCCCACTGCTCTCTGCCCACTATAATGAGATGTGATTTATTACCAGACAATGACATCCCCACACTGTAAAATCAGATGTTTTATTGACGCTATTTTAAAAGGAAGTACCCACAAGGCAAACTGGTAAAAACAAGAATTAAAATGCACTTCTGTGGAAAGCATAAAAACAGCGTTTCGGGGATGAGGGGGATCCTAAAAGGCAAAAAAAAAAAAAAACAAACAGCAACAGCAGGTATATAAAACCATATCGCCACGAGGTACAGGACACAAATGCAACGTCATAGTACAAAACATGAAAAGCCTGCCATCTGAAGTATTAAAACAACTCCTGAAAAAAACTGGCTAAACGAGCGCAAAATTTTACACTTTTTAAATATACAGAACCCAATGCAAAGGTTAACATCAGGCAACACTTTGTACAATGCCTTCCGGCAGAACCAGCGGCAGGTGCATCAACCGTGAGTCGTGTCATCTTCCACAAAGTCCTTGGCCTGTTCTGCTGTAATCACATCAATGTGACTCACCTAAAAAATAAAATGCACAATGGAGGAAAGTTAAATAGTCCCCTGCCCAGACGATGATGTCTATGCTGTCTCATCAACAAGCCTGGCATTTCATGTGTGTTTAGGAGCAGGTTATGAGAGTGAAGGGCAGCAGATGCCTGTGACGGGGGCCGTTATCCGACACTGGCGAAGAATTTTTTTTGCCCAGTAATAACAGCCGAGCCTCTGTTCCAAAACTAGTCCTACTAAAAATCACTGCACAAACTTGTATACAGGCAGTCATGTGCGTATGACCCTATGAAACCAAAGACGCTAAGCAACACCTATTACGGCTCGAAGACCGAGTATCGTTTTCAAGTACCTAAATAGTAAATTTTGCAAATATAACTCCCATCACCCCACTAATCTTGCCACTCACCACTTATTACTCCAATGCATTCTTACTCAAAGCTAACACAAGGGTTCAGCATCGCTATGCTTCTTTTAAAAGGGAAACTATTTTTTTTTCTTTTAAGAATTAAACAAAATTAACTCCTTGGCTCCAGCTGTACGCATATATGCGGCCTCTCGGCAGGTGAGCCTTAATGCGGAGAGGCTGCATATATGCGTGAACAGAAGTGTGCCAAGAGTGTGCGCTGTATGTGCTCCCGGCGGCTAACGGAAAGCTCCCGATCTCTACTTGCAATTGGGAGCTTTGCAATCATGTGACCGCTGTGACAGCCAATCACGGCAGTTACATGATCAGAAATCCCACCCCACCTCACAGCATCTGAAACGCTAAGGGGTTAATAGAAATCAGATCAATAAAAATGTATTGCACATGTTTTATGTGGCTTGTATTGTAAAAGATTAAAATCTCAGCAGTTATTGCAAAAGGATGCTGAATGTCTGGCAAACAAGCACTAGAGGGAGTAACTAAAGATACATACAAAAATTATAGTGTCATAGCAAATAGAGAAAAAAAAGTGAAAAATTACAATTTACAAAAACTCATAACACTTAAAGCGGAAGTAAATTCTAGCAGCACATGCGCAGCTCAGTTTACAGTCTGGCACAATGACTGTAGGCTGGGATGACTGCCCTCTGCCATATGCATGAGAGAGATATTATCCTGTGCCTGCCAATGAAGACAGCCGAAGACTTTGCGGGCGTCAGACCAATGGAAGATAAGTTTAGATCCGCTTTAAAATTTCTGCATTGGCAAAACCAGGATTTTTGTAATTACTGTAAAATCCTTTTTTGGAGTCTACTGAGAAACATGAAGTCTGTAACCTTCAGATTATAATGCCATCCACAGCAATATTGGACACTAGCAAACAAAACTGTAGGCCAGCCGAGCAAAACCCCTCCCTATTTGAATGGGTCTCATTCAGCAGCCGTACTACCTGCCAAACGCAGCAGTGAAGTTCTGCCCAAAACAGGATCCAGTCTCACTCTCTTGTGATGGTGAGATTTCTGGTTCCAAGTCCTCTTCACCAACAGGGCGCACACACAGGGAGTCCTTCCCGCACAGTGATACTCTAGTTTGTAGCCCTGCAGTATGCAAGCATCCACAAAAGATTACTAATGCCCCCACTACTCTGGAAATTGTGAGGCACACTTATTTGGAGGAAGGCTTATCTAAGGATTTAGCAGACTTAGAGTGTATAGGGGCTAATGGGGTCTAAGCATGGAGTCCAAGGGAGTGGAGAAATGAAAATGACTGTAAAAACAACAGAGGAGGGAGAAGACTTTAGTGTCTTCATTAGGTTTCCTCGACTGAGAGAATAGGTTCTCTTGCCACCATTAACATCCTTGATAGAAGAGCCAATCTGAACAGATGTCCTCCAAAGGCCATGCGGATCAAATGCTTCTTGTGCAAGGGTTCTGTAGTTCGACATTTCAGCCGAATTAATTTAATTTGGGAGTAATAGCAGTAGACTTCCACTCTACAGGAGTAAGGAGATGCCTCCTCAATGCCGTATAGCGGAAAAGAGTGCTTGCATGCAACACTTCACCCAGCAGGTGATGTCAGTGCTTGGTCCCACAACATTAACTCCTTTTGTTGTAAAGCCAGCAAGAATGGGGAATAAAAGTGCTCAGCCTTTATGTGAATGAGGTAGTTCCTAGATAATAGCACAATTGTCTCACTCACTAAGCCTTCAGAGTCAGGGCAAGCACAGAGAATATACCAGCTGCTCTGGACCAGGAACGTACTCCGCAGCGAACGTTTACCAGAATGGTGTCTGCAAACTCCCCCATGTGGAACCTAGTGCCCGAAGGTCACTTTCAGGATATTCCTGCAATATCCAGTCCAAGAAAAAACATCCACCCTCTCAAGACCCCAACCAAAAAACTAAGGCATGCAGGTAGTAGGAGGGGTTATCCTGGGCTGGCCTACAGTTTGTTTTTGTTAGTGTCCAATCCCACTGTAGATGGCAGTATAACCTGAAGGTTAAAGACTCATAGGGGTTTATTTACTAAAGCTGGAGATTCCAAAATCAGACTCCTTTCTGCATAGAAACCAATTAGCTTCTAACCTCAGCTTGTTCAATGAAGCTTTGGCAATGAAACCTGGAAGCTGATTGGTTTCTATGCAGAAGGGAGTCTGATTTTGGACTCTCCAGCTTTAGTAAATAAACCCCATAGTGTCTCTCAATGGATGAAAAAGAAACAGGTTGCTCTAACTCTCCCAGAAAATACTATATATGATAAGATCAAAGTAGTAAAAACACAGATTATCCAAATAGAACTGTGGAAAGCATTTACCATAAAACAGGCTACAGAAGCACTTATGGGACTTTGCACTTGAAGTGTTACCAAACCCAGCACCCTGCATTCACTATATCTGGTCTCCTACAGCACACACAACATGGAAATGCAATTATTTTAGTAAATATAAACTGCTAAATAACTTTTCTCATCAGCAGTTAGAACAGTCTTATGACTTCTATCAGTGTCCAGCAGAGCACTGGTTAAAGCTTGTAGGTGGAGTTTACATTCTCCCCTATGAGACTGCATGACCCCTGACCCTCTGTCTGGACAGTGCTGATCACATGCACTCTCACAAGGCAAAACAAAAATTCTCTAGCACTACACACCAAACTGAGAATGTGCAGCTTGCCTCCAAGCCTCTGTTCTATCAGAGGTTATATTGGGGACAGTAGAAGAAGGGGAGGATCAGAGAAGACAGAATCAAACATTCTTTTTACACAATGCAGAGGATTAACCCCTTAGGTTCCACAATGAGTATAACAAGTATGCTTTATTGCATATACAAACTGATTGTACTGTTGTGGGTTTAGTAACACTTTGCGGGCTTATTCAAACTTGACTAAATTTCTAACCCTACAAAAAACGCCCCTATAACGTTAGACAGCCGTTAATGAGCTTTAGTATGGGTGTTCAAGCATTAAAAATGCCCCCCAAATACCCTATGCATGGTTTTGAGGCATTTTACAAGTGTTAAAACCACACTACAAACGCCTATAATAAACTCTACTGGTATTAACGCCCCACAAAAGCCTGCCAGGCATTTAAGGAGTGTCATCATAGACTTGAATGGGAGGCGTTGAAAGGCTTCAACTCCTCCTGACTGGACACGAAGCTTCAATTTTGAAGTTACTCTAACGCTTCATGTTTTGCGAATGTGAACAGCACTTTGTACTGCCCATTGTAACATTTTCATAGGCATTTGAGGAGCATTATAAACGCCCCTCATATGCCTGCTTTCAAAACTAGTGTGAACTAAGCCTTAGAGTTGGAAACTTACCTTATTTCTAAATTTCACTCCATAAAACTTGTCAGCAGACTCCAACAGTTCAGGCCTGAAGGTTGTGGTAATGAACTGGGCATGTGATGCCAATTCTAAGATCATATCTGTAGATAGACAAGATGCAAACTGATTTAACCATATCTTTACCCACTTCGCCCTAAAGTATTTGTTTACAATTTAAAATCAGTATTTTCTGCTAGAAAATGTCTTAAAACCCCCAAACATTATATATTTTTTTAAAGCAGAGGCCCTAGAGCAGGGGTGTCAAACTGAAGGCTCTCCAGCTGTTGTGGAACTGCAAGTCCCATCATGCCTCTGCCTTTGGGAATCATGCTTGTAACTGTCAGCCTTGCAATGGCTCATGGGACTTGTACTTCCACAACAGCTGGAGGGCTGCCAGTTTCACACCTGTACCCTAGGGAATAAATTGGTGGTTTTTGCATTTTTTTTTAATGTCACATGGTATTTGCGCAGCAGTTTTTTAAAGTTAATTTTATTGCAAAAAAGACCAAAAAACACAATAAATAACCCAATTTTTTTGTAAAATATAAAAGATGTTGTGGTGAGTAAATAAAAACCAAATATGTCATGCTTTAAAATTGTGCATGTCCATGCAACAGCGACAAACGGTGGAAATTTTACTATTCGTAGGTGACGTTTTAAAAGCTTTTACAAGTTACTTTAGATTTACAGAGGAGGTCTAGTTTTATTGCCGCCACAAGGAATGTAAACATCCCCAGTTACAGCAATAGACACGTTGCAAGTATTTTTTATGAAGGGATCTGGGATCTATAGCTGGCTAATAAGCCACTCCGATTGCTTATACAAGACAGCCAACAGCCGGCTCTAAAATACTGTACTGGGATGATGCTTGCAGTTGCAGGCATCACTCCGATACAACCACTGAAAGTCTGGAAGTGGTTATGGAGCTGGCTTTGCGCACAGGGGCACAGTTATGCTAAAAAAAGAAAAGGACCTTCCCCAAACTGATGCCACATGGTTGAAAGCACACAATGGTCTAAAAAGTCTTTGTATGCTGTAGTATCAACAAAACTTTCCAATGGAAAACACCTGAACTTAAAGGGGTGCCCACAGTAGTTTGGCAATATACAGGCGTACCCCGGTTTACGAATTTAATGCGTTCGGCGGGAATTTTTGAATTGCGAAAAATTCATAAACCGAAACATGGTTTACCACAGGAATGCATTGAAAACCAAATAATCTGTTCTGGAGGTCAGAAAAAAAGTCTTTATCTGTTCAAAACTCTTTATAAAGTGCACTTTAACCACTTCCTGACCGGCCGTTGCATATAAAACAGCCAGACGGTGGCAGTGCAGAGTCGGGTGGCCGTTTATAAACAGCCTCCCCGCACCCTGCTTGTGCGCGCTCCCTCGGAGTGTGCAGCACCGCAATCCGGTGCCCGCTGTGTCCTCCGGACACAGTGAAACACCGATCGTCGGGCGGGACCTCTGTACGAGGTCCCGATCATGTGATCACTGATTGACCAATCAGTGATCACATGCAAAGTAGTAAGCAAGATGTCACTTGTGACATCATTGCTTACTACGTGTGAAATCTGTGAATGATCAGAGGTCACATGGTACAAGGCTATTCACAACAGCCTTGTACCATGTGACAAGCTGTGACCAATCACAGCTCACTCAGTACTTCTCAATGAGTGCAAGAATGCACACAGAGAGAAAGAGAAATGATTGCTTTTACATCCTATATGGGTGTAAAAGCAATCAGTGTAAAAAAAAATATATATATATTCATCACCCCCCACAAGTAGTACAGTGTCACCATGGTGACACTGTACTGCTAGGGTGACAGTATGTAAAAAAAAATAAAAAAATATAAAAAAAAAAAATAAAAATGTAAAAAAAAATGTTTAAAAATTATAATTTTTTGGTTATAAACTAATTTGGATTTTTTTTACTAAAAAGATAACGGAATAAATTTTGGCAAAGATTTATGATGAAATATTATTTATTTGCAAAATTTTATTTAAAAAAACACTTTTTAAAAAAAATGTTTTGGACTTTTTCATTTACATAGCAAAAAAAAAAAAATCCGAGCAGTGAATAAATACCACCAAAATAAAGCTTTATCTGTCTCAAAAAAAATGGTAAAAAATTCATTTGGGTACAGTGTTGCATGACCGTGCAATTGTTATTCAAAGTGTGATAGCGCTGAAAGCTGAAAACTGCCCTGGTCAGGAAGGGGGTAAAAGTGTCCAGTCTGGAAGTGGTTAAAGGCATAATACTGTACAAGGACAGGATTAATAAAAAAAAAAAATCTGTAAATGCATTGAAAACCAATTAATCCGTTCGTAATGTAAAAAAAATTTGTAAACTGAGGCATTATTTTCAATGGATTTTCATTCGTAAACCGAAAATTACGTTAACCGAGGCATTCGTAAACCAAGGTACGCCTGTATTCTCCGAATATGATTGCGTGGGGAACTTGGAGCGAGACCATATTGCTAGTGGTGCCAAATGTGGAGTCTGGAAGTGCTGTTTTGGCCACGTTTATATACAATGAGGTACTTTTAATGGGAACCTGTGTCCAGGCTGCAACCAGTGAGTGATTCCTGAAGACTGCCATTGTGGTGGATCAACATAATAACATAGGCCATCCATGATCTTTGTATAATTTGAAGGTCATGCAGTTCTGCTAAGCCTCACATGAAATATTTGTGGTGCAGGTTGACTCACTGGCGTGGGATACATTTTATTGCCTTCAAGTGGACTGAAATGTATTTGTGGACATTTTATACATCGGAATCAATGTGATTTATTACATGGACTTTCTTCACACTATTATCTTGCATGGTGTTGTTTTCCATATTTATTAAGCGCAGCACATTATGGTTTACTGAATATATTGCAAAATCAGCAACCTGTATTTATGGATTTAGTTACCATTCTGACATGCAGTTTTCATCAACAGTAACGTTTGCTCAAATGTGTTTTTATCCCCATGTGATAACATTTTTCCCAGGTTTCTATTACAGTTATTTAAAAGTTAATAATAAAGCGGAACCCTAACCAATTTTTTTTTTATTTTTTTTTTTAGTTTCGAATTGTAGAAGGTTTAGAACCTTTGACTGTGGGAAGATTTCCTCTTGGATGCAAGGAACTTGTCTTGAAATCTGTGCCCCAGCTGAGCTGGGACAGGAAACGAGGGGAATCTCTCCAGTGGTGGCAAAGCAGCATCAACATGACCAAGGCTCTAATTCTACTAGATCACAATAAACCCTGTAATGTACAATATGCCAAAGATTTAATGATCTGAAATGAGTGCCTGTCCAGGTTTTGGCTTTGCTGTGACAGATGCACTTCAAGGCAACTTTGTTTTAATCATTTATTTGAATTGTTCACTAAACAATAAAAGTGTCCAGCAATAAACCACAAAAATTAAAAAATGAAGACAACAGAAAAGAGGTACAAATACCTGACACGGCTTTTTTTCTGTGCTGGGCATCCAGAGCCTGGTCAATTTCATCAAACAGGTAGAAAGGGGCCGGGTCACATTTCTGGATTGCAAAAATCAACGCCAAGGCCACCAGGGACTTCTGTCCTCCGGAGAGCTGCTGCATCTCTCTCATTTCAGCCTGCTTACCAGTGAAAGACACCTATAGGGAGCAAAACAGCAAAGGCATAGTACAAATTTACATTAGAGGTAAAAGCTACTCTGAGGTGAGGACCTATCAGAACACTTTAACATTCTCAGTGAGTAGCTGCAGAGTATATTAAATCTCTGAATAGCAGCACAACATATTAGATCTCTACAAATGAATAACTAATTTTACACCTTGCAAGCTCATTATACACTTGTAATGGACTTATAGCCCTGCAACCAGCAGATACCAATTACAGTATTTTTCGCTCCATAAGATGCACTCCCCCCCCCCCCCCACCAAAAAAAAAATGGGAGGAAATGTCTGTGTGTCTTATGGAGCAAATAGTGACCAGGACTATTTTTGTGCTATAAACGAAAAAAGACCAAACATTTTGAAAAAAACAAAACAAAACAATGTTTTTTTACTTTCTGCTATAAAATATCAAATAATAAAGAGTGTAAAATTTCCTCGTAAATTTAGGCCAATATGTATTCTGCTACATCCCCAAAAATCCCAATTAATGTATGTTGATTGGTTTACGCAAATGTTATAGTGTCTACAAACTATGGTATATATACTGGAATTTTTATATGATCAGCAACTTAAAGCGGAACTGCGAAATTGCGGTGGACAATCTGACAGTGAAACTTTGGGGGAACCAGCGACACTAATACAGTGATCAGTGCTACAAAATATGCACGGACACTGTACTAATGACACATGGCTGGAAAGGGGTTAAACATCTAGAGCGATCAAAGGGTTAAATGTGTGCCTAATCAGTGTTTGTGTGTGTACAGTGTGCTGCTTTCACTAAGGGAAATGCTGGATTTTTTTCCCCTACTTTGCAGGGAAACAAAATCCAGCACATTCCTGCTGACAGGACAGAGCTCTGCCTTGTTTATATAGGCAGAGCTCTGCCCTGTCCTTCTCCTCACCGATCAGCTGGTGCCGACGGTCATCCATTGGCCGGCACGCGTTGATCGACTTGTGCTGTTTCTAATCACAGCATAGCACAGCCGGGTCGTTGGCGGTGCTCACCCCCCTATCCGGAAGTGCTGGATCACGTACAGACGTGCCACTCTGCCGCCATATAAGTAGGTTATATGGTCAGCAAGTGGTAAAGAATGTACCAAACATCACTCAGCCTCCTCCCACTCTATCACATATTGGAGGTACTTACCCGGATTCCAACACCAGTAAACTGATCAACCGATGGCACACTGCTCTGTGAGCTGGATCCTTTTTCACTCTCGGCGCTCCCTTCTTCATCTTGAGACTGGCTCCCCTCTATATCCCCTTTCTTCATCACCAGTGTGGCTTTTCCTCCTGGCACCAGCTTTTGGAACACTTCACTGAAGTTCTTTGATACCTAAGAGAGCAACAACTGCCTGTTACAATGCTCCAGACAAATAATATTTGCGGTTTCATTGCATTTGTACACTTTTGCCATTTCTGTCATGCATGCATACTGGGGTTTTCAGACAGACATAAAAAAAAAAGCTATTGCAAAAAACTTTTTTTTTTTTTTTTTTTAGGTATTTCAAAATACTTATAACCAAAGGACAGAAAACAAATCATTGTATACTAGCCAACGTACTGTTATAACATGGGTTCATCCAGTCTTTAACCCAATTTAGACAAAACTCGTGTGGGCGTTGCCACGGGCACTCTACATGCAAAAGGAGTTAGCCCAAGAATGCCCATTCCTTGAGCCTATGCAGCCACCTACAAGCCCACTTCTTGGGACAGCTCTTGAAAAAGGATTATTTTATTCATTACAGGTACTTATATAGCGTCGACAATTTACGCAGCACTGTCCATACTTTATATATTCACATCAGTCCCTAGCCCTCAAGGAGCGTACAATCTAACATTCCCTAAAACATTCTAGGACCAATTTAAACAAAAGCCAAATAACCTACCAGATTGTCTTTGGAGTGTGAGAGGAAACCGACACAGGCACATGGAGAACATGCAAACTCCAGACAGGTAGTGCCGTGGTTGGGATTCAAACAGACTAACCTAGTGCTGCTAGGCGGAAGGGCTAACCATGCAGTCACTGTGCTGCCATATATATACGTATATACACGAAGCAGGGTGCAGCCTGCCAGTTCCGCCCACCCCCACCAATTAAAATCCATCTCTATGCTATGCTACCAATTTACCATTGTCTGTAAATCATCTCACCTGCTTGAAAGTAAGCTGGATGGCCTCGTATTTCCGGAGCTCTAGGACATTCATTAGCTCCATGATGGATTTGTAACCTCGGTCCAGCTCTTCCTGACGTTTAATGAGCTTCTCTTTCTGCTCAGAAAAGTTCACAAACTGGTCCAAAGCTTTCTTGTTGACGTGGCTGTATTTCTTCAACTCTGTGTTGCACTGCTCTAGCTTGCGGAATAGCTGCAATTAAAAAAAAGACAATTATTAACAAACTTAAAAGCAAAATGCACAACATCCAAAACACATAGCAATACTGGCAATATTATTTGCGCACTCAAATTGCATTTAGGGTTTTCCAGAATAAAAACATTTTCTATTTATTTTAATGTAGCATTATCTGCGGTCCCATGACTGCACAGCCTTCCTTATAGTCCTGTTTTTGTACAGTGAAGGTGTGTCAGGTTACTACATGGACAGGCAATTTTAATTCAGTAAAACCTGTTGTCATTCACAATCGGTACCGTAGCATCAGCACAGCTGCACACTATATGATTAGGTTTTATTTACCCAATTTTTTTTAACCAGCCGAAGCTTTACTGACAAAATATAGGATGACAGCATGCAAGAGGAGCTATATGATAGTGCTTGGCTCCCTGCTTTGTGATGGTTGACATTTCACATAACACTAAGGATCAGAGCAGAGCGTGTTTTCGTCAGATGGAAAACTAGAGCATGAGCAATGAGTGTGGCAACCCTGAAGATGGAGGACAGGCTGGAATAACATTGTTACTTTTAATAAGGAATTCGAGGAAAACGACAGAATTAGCTAGATATTTACTATCCATGAATATAGTAATGAAAAACGTTGAGCACACAGTAAGAGCAATTCATTTTAAAGCCCATGACACAAAAGAAAACTGGGGTTTAAATGCCTTGAAGCAAGAAACATACAATTTTATGAACAGCCCTATAACTGTGGATCTATTCAAACTGTGTAAGCCTAAAGCCTTATGAGGCGGAGTTTGCAATTTCAATGTGGTCTGATAGAATTACTCCGTGCAAGGATACAGAAGAACAAAAAAGTGATATTCAAGCAAAACTGCTCATAAAATTTTACCATCTTTTTGGTCAGCTTTGCTAGCATTCATAGGACTGTGCTAGCTCCCACACATCTAAGTGCAGCAGTGTCTGGGATAATGCATGCTAAGGTGCTTCCCAATACTTCCCCCCCGTATGTCTTGAACCAACCACAGCATGGTCAGCGCTCCCTTCAGACCGACAACGCCTAGGGGAGGATGTGTCTGCAATACCCGTTTCCAAATATAACCAATGTGGTTTACAAATGGCTGGATCACCAGGTGGAATTTAGTATAAATATTGGGACAGCATGAAAAATAAATAGGCTTCCTTCAACATGTGAAGGGTAAGGCATTATTTTAACCCCCTTGGCACCAGCGCCTTCCAGCCCTTTAAGGTGTCTGAGACACCGGGAGGAGGATCGAGCTTTATGGTCATGTGACCGCCATAATTGTCACGACGATCTCATGATTGGAAAAGTCTCGGCCGCAAGTAGCAATCAGCACCTTTTCGCGAGGCGCAGGTAAATGTGCTGGGGGCACGCACTCTCGGCACATCTTTTGTTTACATTGGGTGCACAAATATACAGCCGCTTGGTGCCAAGGCCCAGCTGCCAAGAAGCCGTATATTTGCATATGCTCGGCGCCAAGGAATTAATATTAGCTTATGGTTCACATACACTGAATTCGCATTTACCTGTTTTAAAGTTAATGTTTGGTATTTTTCAAAAGCCTCCTGCGGAAGGGAGCCCAGTTCTCGGATCTTCTTCATACATTCCTCTTTCTTTTTCAAGAGCATTCCCTGTCTGTTGGTCATCTTTTCAAGTTCCTTAGTATCGTGATTAATGGCGTCCATATGTTCCTTTTCCATGGCCTTCCATCGATCCATGCTCTTTACAAGTTCTTTTATCTCTGCTTCAGTTTTATCAATATTTACATCGAGACCTGACAATGAGATCGCATCATTAAAGGCCATTCAAGCTAAGGAATCCATTGTACAAAAACAGGTCACCTCCACAGGATAGTGTGATGACTGGAAATCTGGCAATGAATTGGAATACTGTGGAAGACAACCTGAGGTACGACTTGACTAAAAGCCCAGTATCGCAACCTAGAGCAGCAGCAGAAAGATCACCAAGAACCACAGATCTGATGGAGAGGACCGGCTGATGCCCTGCATTTGGAAAATCTCCAGCACTGAAGCCCAAATAGTCAAAGGGAGAAATAAGGAGATCAAAAGCTCTCTAGATAACAGCAGAGAGCAACTCACTTTTCCAGACTTAACTTTTGCCCAAGTGTTAAAGTTCTAGACCTGACACAGGGTGGAGTTGTTACCAAGGGTCTTTTTTCGTTTAACATTTTCAGTATTATTCCTATGGCTTATGAATCCTTGCCAATCACTATAAAAAGGTTTCAGTGGATCTGGAATAAACATTTTTACCACATTAACCCCTTGCCCTCCTGAGGATTTACCCCCCTTCCTGACCAGGCCATTTTTTGCGTTACGGCACTGCGTTAATTTAACTGACAAATGCGCAGTCACGAAATGCTGCACCCAAATTAAATTTATGTCCTTTTTCTTCCCATGAATTGAGCTTCTTTTTGGTGGTATTTGATCGCCTGTGCCGACAATTTTGTGAAAAAAAAAAAAAAAAACAACATTTTTGACTTTTTGCTATTAAACATGTCCAGTAAAAAAATTAAAAAAAAAAAATCAAATTACGTCATAAATTTAGGCCAAAATGTATTCTGCTACATGTCTTTGCTAAAAAAAAAAATCTCAATACGTGTAAATTAATTTATTTACGTGAAAGTTATAGTGTTTACAAATGGCGGAAGATATACTGGGATTTTTTTTTCTTTCTTTTTTTTTTTACTAGTAATGGCGGCGATCAGCAACTTATAGCGGGACTGACATCCTCAGTGACACCAATACAGTGATTAGTGCTTAAAAAAAAAACAAAAAACACTGACACTGTATTAATGGCACTGGGCAGGAAGGGGTTAACATGTGGGGCGATCAAAGGGTTAACTGTGTGCTGTGTTACTCTGTGCTGTGTGCTTCACTGTAAGCACACTGCTTTGGATGGCTGTACTGCGCACAGCCATCCAAAGCAGTGTGCACAAGCTGACAGGGAGGAGAACTATATTGTTTACGTATAGTTCGCCTCCCTGTTGGAGATGCTCGTAAACCACCGGGTGCGGGCAAGTTCTCACTGGCCGGGACCCGGTGATTGACAGCCGCGGCTGCGAATGGTGGCACGGGTAGGGCACGAGCACCCCCTACCCGGAAATGCAAGATCATGTATATATACACGTTATTTTGCGCAGCCATGCTGTCCTGTAGCAGTATATCTGCTATAGGGTAGTCGGGAAGTGGTTAAGGGAATGGATGCTTCAGTTACTCTTATTTTTAAAAAAGGACCTGACTTATGGAAGATGTGCCCAAAAAAAGGGCAAAGAGGGGAAAGAACTAATCACCAGCACTGCCTGTAAAATTCCTGCAGCCGATTGTCTTTCCACATCACTGACAAAACATGCCCTGTTCCACACTGTATCTCTATGTGGAGGCAGCCATCTTGGTAAAGGCAAGGCTCTCCTTTCACAAGACAGACCTTCCACTGTGGTGCCTAGTGATCCCATGATTGGTGGGGTAATGATCAAAAAACAGCAGGAGAGCTGGTGGAAGCACAGATCCACAGACTGAAGCAGAAGCAGGAAGATTCTTGCACTGCCAATGCTCAGGTACAGCTCTTCAACAAGAACAGTGAGCAGCACAGTAGTGACATCACTATAATTCACTTCAAATCTATAGTGAGACTAGCAAGTCAGAAGCAGCAGTGCCTTAGATGATCTCAGACTGCAGATATACGCTGATGAAAGTATAGAACAAAGTGCCTAAAGCACAGGAAGTCCACTGATATTTGTTGGGAGAAATTCAACACAGAAATGTAAAGCTATCTGGGTAATGTTTGGGCACAATTAACATTTCTAGGTGTTCCTTGTAAGACAGCAAAATGTTCACTTTTTGAGTTCAGGTCCACTATGTCGCTGAAAAATGCAATGGCAATTCATAAGAATATGAAATTGATAGTCACCTTCTGATCGTGCCACTGTTTCCTTGATACGTTTGTTGATGGTCTCCAGCTCAGATGTGGTTGCAGTAAGTACTGTCCCTCCCTCTGTCTCTCTTAGCTCATTCAGTTCCTGGACCATATAAAACAGAGATCATACATGTAAAACTAAATCAAACCAGATGCTCAGTCCTGTCCATGTTTCAAGAAGATGGTGCTAAAAGAACAGTCAGCTGAAACCTGAAGTTGTGTTCACCTGTTCTACTTGATCCAACCTCTTCCGTAAGTTCTCATTCAGGTAAGTCTCTACTCTAGTGATTGTGCCTTCTAGCTTGATTCTTTCATTCAAGAGTTGTCGATTGTCCTGAGAAATAAATCATCGTGTTAGTGAACTCCTTTTAACTTGTTAATGAATAGTGATCCAATCCAGAAACTGCACAACTTCCCATCACACCTCATTTTTAAAGGTTACTTACCTGCTGCAACTGTCGGATTTCATCGTTCAGGGCATCTACCCTCCTTTGGTCTTCCAAACTTAGCTGTGATAACAAATCTGTCCCCAGCTCTGCTTTAAGGGAGTCCCGAGTTGACTCCATGGCATGTAAACTGGCCTCCAAGCTCTGCAAACTGCGTTGCTGTAAAACAACAAAATTGTAGAGAAACATTAAAGTTGGTATAAACCAGACGTTTTCCACCTTTGCTTCTTGACTGCCTTTAACCACTTGCCTACCAGGCACTTTTACCCCCTTCCTGCCCAGGCCAATTTTCAGCGCTGTTGCATTTTGAATGACAATTGCCCGGTCATGCAATACTGTACCCATATGAAATTTTTATAATTTTTTTTTACACAAATAGAGCTTTCTTTTGATGGTATTTAATCGCACTGGGTTATTTTTTGCACCATAAAATGGAAAAAGCAAGAAATGTGAAAAAAAAAAAAAAGTTTTTCTTTGTTTCTATTATAAAAATTTTGCAAACAGGTACATTTTCTCCTTCACTGATGTTCGTTGGTGAGGCGGCACTGATGAGGCAGCACTGCTGGGCACGGATAGGCACCACTGGTAGGAATTGATGAGGAGGCACTGACGGGCAGCACTGGTGGCACTGACGGGCACTTTGGGGCTGCACTGATAAATCAGTGCCCCGATTATCAGTGCAGATGTCCTCTGACTCTTGCTGGTTATCGGCAGTACGTTCCTCACGTTGTGACAGTGTGAGGAATGTGCTGCCCATAACCGGAAACTGTATTTACTTTGTGATCAGTTGTGTTATTGGACACAGCTGATCACATGGTAAAAGGCCGCTGTGATTGACCTTTTATGTTGTCATGTGATCAGCTGTGTCCGTAGGGGCCGCACGTTCTGGGAGAACGTCACATGACGCCCTCCCAGAACTGGACAACCACGCTGCAGCCGTCATTCGGCTATAGCCTGACTGTCAAATGGTTAAAAGGGAAGTATGTGATTTTTGTTTTAATCATACTTACCTAGGTGAATGCAATATTGATCCAATGCTGTATCTGTCCCCCGATGCCTCTAAGGGTGAGAACTGAACAATCAAACACCACTGATCGCGAAGTTCTCCTTGCCGCTCTGAGCAGAAAGCGGCGATTGTCAGCTGTCTGCTTTGCCCCCCTCCCCCCCCAGCGTACAAAGGAGTGTGGCTGAGTCAGGTGCCGGTCCAGGCTCCTGGGTGGATCCCAACTATATGGTAGCGATCATTCTGCAGCCTAGACCGGCTCTGTGACGTCAGTCGACAGCAGGCTTCAGCTCACTGCTGGCTGAAAACAGGTCACAGGACTGCAGAATGAACTGAACTCCTGTGATACGCAGAAATACAGTCAAACGAGCTTTGGCTGTACCTCTCCTTTAATTTGGTTTAGAAACTAAAAGGTTAGGGAACTCTGGTTCTTCACATTTTCAAGTGAACATAATCTAGCTTAAAACTGCAGTTTTTGTTAGCCTTTAAATCCACCCCAATGAAGTTCCCTTAGATCCTAATCCACAGCTATCACAGCTTCTATCCTCCACTGAAGTTCTGCAATTTAATTGTTGAATGCAAGGGTCTAGGAACGAAGAGGAACTAAATATATATATATATATATATATATATAAAAAAATCTTGAATAGACAGGATTTTTATTTCAGAAGAGACATGCAATGTCTCTTCTGTAATAAAGTACCCCCACCTGCCTATTTGCAATCCTCCACAGAATGTACACTGAGCTGAGCATGCATCAGAGTGACATCATCCCATGCCAAAACGACTGAACACCAGCACCCGGAAAAACCTGGAGAGAGCATGGTGGTGCGGGACCTAGCAGCTTCAGACGATTGGAACTTAGGTAGGTAATTATGCCTTTAAACGATAAGTTCACCTTTTGACAAAAAATAAATGCATTTTTTGCAAGTAAAAAAATATGCATTTATTAGTTTTTGCTGCAGGAGCCTGTTAAGCATTGCACCAGCAATCAACAGGTTGTTGGTGCCATACAGGTCTCCGGCAGACCTGTCAGTATATCCCGTACAGGCAACCAGATATACTGACAGGAAGAAACAATGAACTACCACGGTGCCCCACAGCACTGCGGTAGTTCTGTGAGAACTACAAGCCAAAAGGTGCTAAGGCCATCACAATTGTAGTTCATTCATTCTCAGAACTCTGAATGACTGATGTGTCTGTGTGGGCAGAGCCCCGCATGGTTACTCGGTTATTAAAAAGTGACAGCTAGTAAGGGGAGCTTCTCCACAAACTGATATCACAGGGAAGGGGGGGGGGGTTGGGCAGCTGCTGCAGCATTGGGCACATGTAAAAATGTTCCCATAGGTGAATTTATCCTTTAATCTTTACTTACACATCATAGAGGCATGTACAGTAGACAGACAGATAAAAAGATTAAAACAAAACACAGGTTCCTAAAGGCAACACAATGCATGTGCTAACATTTTAGGCTAGCCCAGGCTGATTATAAGAAATCAAAAACAAGAACATCAAAATCACTAACAAAAAATAAAACATCAAAACTGAAGCTTACCTTTGGCATGAAAGTCTTTTCAGACTGCAGACGCTTCTCCTTCAGCATCTTCATCTCTGATAATATACTGTCTCGCGAAGCTTTAAACTTCCTCTGCTGTGTCTCAATTTGCTGCATCTGGTTCATGAGCTGGTCAATTTCATTATTAATCCCTGCAAAATGCTAAGGAACATATACTGCAAAGCAGAACATGTTTACAGAAAAACAATCAATGAAGACATAAGGGCCCTCTCACATGAAGTGCTTGAGGTCTTTTCCTTTTGCTAAAAACATTTTACCAGCATCTCTGCAGGGTTCCCTAAATATAGTGCCTTGAAAAAGTATTCATCCCCTTGAAATATTCCACATTTTTCTATGTTACAACCAAAAATGTAAATGTACTTTACTGGATTTTATGTGATAGACCAATGCAAAGTGACACATAATTGTGAAGTGGACGGAAAATATTAAATGTTTTCAAAATGTTTACAAATAAATATGTGAAAAGTGTGGAGTGCATTTGTATTCAGCCCCCTGGAGTCAATACTTTGTAGAACCACCTTTCACTGCAATTGAAGCTACAAGTCTGTTTGGGGATGTCTCCACCAGCTTTGCACATCTAAAGAGGGACATTTCTGCCCATTCACCTTTGCAAAATAGCTCAAGCACTGTCAGATTGGATGGAGAGTGTCTGTGAACAGCAATTTTCAAGTCTTGTTACAGATCCTCAATTGGATTTAGGTCTGGACTTTGACTGGGTCATTCTAACACATGAATATGCTTTGATCTAAACCATCCCATTGTAGCTCTGGATGTATGTTTAGGGTCGTTGTCCTGCTGGAAGGTGAACCTCCGCCCCGGTCTCAAGTCTTTTGCAGACTCTAATAGGTTTTCTTCTAAGATTGCCCTGTATTTGGCTCCATCCATCTTCCCATCAACTCTAACCAGCTTCCATGTCCCTGCTGAAGAAAAGCATCCCCACAACATGATGCTGCCACCAAGTTTCACGGTGGGGATGGTGTGTTCTGGGTGATGTGCAGTGTTAGTTTTCCGACACACATAGCGTTTTGCTTTTAGACCAAAAAGTTCAATTTTGGTCTCCTCTTACCAGAGCCCCTTCTTCCACGTTTGCTGTGTCCCCCACATGCAAACGGGAAACGGGACTTCCTATGGCTTTCTTTCAACAATGACTTCCTTCTTGCCACTCTTCCATAAAGACCAGATTTGTGGAGTGCACGGCAAATAGTTGTCCTGTGGACAGATTCTCCCACCTGAGCTGTGGATCTCTGCAGCTCCTCCAGAGTTGCCATGGGCTTCTTTTCTGCTTCTCTGATTAATGCTTTCCTTGCCCGGTCTGTCAGTTTAGGTGGACGGCCATGTCTTGGTAGGTTTGCAGTTGTGCCATATTTTTTCCATTTTCGGATGATGGATTGAACAGTGCTCCATAAGATGTTCAAAAGCTTGGAATATTTTTTTTAGAACCTAACACTGCGTTAAACTTCTCCACAACACTATCCCTGACCTGTCTGGTGTGTTCCTTGGCCTTTATGATGCGGTTTATTTACTAATGTTCTCCAACAAACCTCTGAGGGCTTCACAGAACAGCTGTATTTATACTGAGATTAAATTACACACAGGTGGACTCTGTTTACTAATTAGGTGACTTCTGAAGGCAATTGGTTCCACTAGATTTTGGCTATTTTGCTGAAGATACAGCTTAAGCCTTACATTTTCTGGGAATTATGAATATGTTATACTTCTTGGAGGCCCCCTAAGGGGTCTACAAAATTCTTCAGGGGAATGTATTTCATGAGGATGATTGCCTGGATTGAGTGGGGAGGAAGGATGTACAGCCTCCAGGTGCTTGTAATTTACTCTTTTAGAGGCAAGAAGGCCACGCTACCATCTCCCTCGACAGCTCATATGCCACTCCTTCTGACTTGCAGCCACCGCCAAAAAACCTGGTGATGACAACCCATATATAACGTGAGAGTGTTCAAGCCTATGGATTAGAAGATGACCACATACACTGCATCATATCTTGGGGAGGCATGGATATGTAGTTCCTTACTCAGGAGCAATGTGTATTTTTTTTTTTTTTCACCAGAGGAGGGAACAACAGACATTTTCTAGAGTGTGGCACCTTGCCCTGGGTGTCATATCCTCGTAAACTCTGTATCAGAGATAAGTTAAGGCCTTCCAAAGTAGGTCTGTGTTCAATGTGATCCTGGGGAGCACAAAGAATGATTTGGTTACATCTAAAAAAGGAGATGCAAGCACTGTGGGGTGCCTCTGAAATAGCATTGTGTGAACTTAAGATTTACTTTGATTATAATACAGCAGTTAAAAAGGATACTTTCAATGTTTCTGCGTAGGTTCTCATTCAGCTTTGCCTCCAGTGCATGCAATTCATCTTCTACTTTCCGTACATCCTTCTGCAGCTCCAGGCGAGACTTTCTGGTGTCATAGTAGCCACCAGTCAATGCACCCCGATGGCTGACCTGATCACCTGTAACAAGGAAAAAAATTCTAAAAACTGTCTCTTTTGTTTCATTGAGGGGAAAAAATCTCCTCAGGGGAATATGACTTGCCTATAAAAAGTTGGACTATTTTACTACAATGCTTAGCAGAGCTCTAACTTAAAGAGACACTGCCACTTCACCCATTTCGGCATCAATAGTTTAAATTAAACCTTTGATCTGCCCATGAAGGGCAAAGCAAACAATCCCCTCAAATGCCAAGTCTAAAGACTGCACATGCTTATGCTGCCTTTGTTCTCCAGCCTTTCCCACTGGCTGTCAAGGGAGAAGAGCAGAAGGTCTGTGAAAGCTACAAGACCTGCGCTGAGGCCTTTCTCCCAACCCCATGTGAGAAAAATGGATGCCTGTGCAGTCAGTAACAGGGCTACATCAAGAGAGGAACTAAGAACTGTATTCAGAAGCACTGGGTACTTTTCTTTGCTCTTGGGAGTCCAGCCTAAATTGAGTGTCAGTGGAGTAATTAAGGTAAGTGTGCTGTTGGTGGGCAGCTGTAAAAGTGACCCTCTTACTTTTCCTCATGGATGAAAGAACAGGGTCACATTAACACCTACGACAAATACAGAGCTGAACGGATCACTGAGGTTTGCTAGCACAGCAACAGCAACCTAATTAAAAGAATCAACCTTAATACGCAGATTACGAAGAGTGATTTGATACACTATCTCTGATTAGGCTTTTTTGTGCTCCCAGCAACAGCTGTTCTATAAAAGAAAACAGAAATATGATCGTCTAATCCCATCAAGCAGCGTCCAGAATTCATATTTATGTAGGCTGGCATCCAAGAACACATTAGGTCTATAAAGTTACCGTTTAACATGCTAAACTGCTTCACTCAAAGTCAATGGGGTAATACACAAAATGATGCCTCTGACAAGTAAAATACAAGGAAAATGCCAGGAACACACAATGTACTGCAAGGAACCTTACCCTCCAGGGTGATACAATCCATAGTGAATGCCCTGGCCAGCTGTGTGGACACCTCCATACTTCGACAAATAAGTGTCTTCCCAAAACACGTGCTTAAAAGCTTTATCAAATCGGGGATTGTACCGTAGCTTACTGATCATTGGAATGGCATCCTGACAAGAAAGACATACAAATTAAAATACTGAGTATTTTTTCTTTAACACACAATTCCAAATAGACTCCATTTTGTCACAGCATCTAAGTGAACATAAAATGTTTTTTGAATACAGTGGGGAAAGGTCAGAAACAGTTTTTAGTATTGTGTGGCTACTTTATTGGGGAGATTTCCCACAAATTCCTGTCCTAGTGATGATGTCACTGCAGGCCTCAGGCAACCAATAAAAACCTGAGAGACGTACTCACCTATCCTTACTCTATACAAAGCAAAATTGCACAAGGCAAAGGGCAAGGTTCAGCATCATCAAGGCAGAGGCAGACATGGTTCACCCAAAAGGGTTAGTTCCGCTTGTCTGCAGACATCCCCACCACACACAGACACACACATTTTGACTATTTGGTTGGGGGTAAGGGGGAGCTGGTTTTGACTGGTACCCATCCCCACTTCTGGTCAGAAACCAGAAGACTGCGGGTCCATTCACAAAGCACAGCACAGCGCAGCAGTAGGAAACCAGCTGTGAAGCTGGAAGGCTTCACTGCCGGTCTCCCTTACCCAAGATGCCGGCACCTGCACTCGAAGTTGAATGAAGAATCAGCTTGGGTGAGGCCATCGCTGGATCCCTGGTCAGATAAGTGTCCTCATATTAAAAGTCAGCAGCTATAGTATTTGTAGCTGCTGACTTTTAATTTTTTGGGGGGAGACTGGAGCTCCCCTTTACACAGTACAAGGGAAGAGGCAGGCGTGATTCAACCTTATTGTGCAAGAGACGAGTGAGGTTTGGCACCATCGATGAAGCACAATTGTGAAGTCAAAATGGCCTGAGATTCATGGTCATGACAGGTTTCAGAGGTTACTGTAACATATCCAGGCACTTCTAAGTATATTTTTAGGAGAAGCAGCAAGGGCCAATTACTGTAAAAAAGAAAGCAGAACATGCATATGTATAATGAGCAAATATGGCTGTATTTGTATCTAAAACTGATAAAGAAGGGATGTTATCAAAACTGGAGCAGTTGTGCATGGCAACTAATCAGCTGCTATCTGTTATTTTCAAAGCTTAACAAAAGAAGCTGAAGATAGAAGCTGTTTGCCATGCGCAACTTATGCATATTGTCTGCTCGCATTTTGATAAATTTCCCTCAATTTTTTTACAGCATTAGCACACACGAAGGTTATTTATATTATAGCAATTGAGTTCCCATGAATCTAAAAAGACTGAAGATTCCCTTTAATCCTGCACGTCTATCATTAAGCAGCACCAAAACAGTGAAAATCATGATGCACAAAAACAGGGAAAAATTAAAGACTATGATTTTTGTCTTAGCTGTCAGGTCAACAATGACTCACATTGGTCTCTGGGTAGGCTGTGTCTCTAACATCCAACTTGTTGAGTGGCAGGAAGGTAACCTCTCCAGGAAGATTCATTTTGTTAAACTCCATTAAGATCTTGGTGCTGACCTCATCTGAATCAACAATATGATAGAACAACCTGGGGGAGAAAACAATTGAAACATTCTTATGTTCGCGATCTTCCTATAGCTCATGCTGCAATAAATCTTATTCATCATTTTTGAAGTGATCTGTAACTATGGGTTGATAAATAAACAAGTAGAATTTCTATCTTGCTCTCTCACTCCCTTTCTGAGAGATAGCAATGATGGCAATTGATAAGAAAAAAAAATTGGGAGTGTTTCTAAAGGCTGAAGGTTTTTACCTGCATGAAGGTAAAAAAAAACAACGAATTCAGTGTACAGCTCCCCCCTTAGCGCACAAATACCAACCTGAGCCCGATCCCGATGTGCATGAGAGCCGTGGCTCTCCCGGGTCTCTCTCCTCACAGGCTGAGACACAGCAGCAGAAGCCATTGGCTCCCGCTGAAGTCAATCACAGCCAGTGAAGAGGGACCGGGGGGCAGAGCCAAGCCATGCTCTATGTGTCTCAGAGATACAAGGGTGGCTCAGGAGCAAGCACACACGAGTGCCCCCAGAGCAAGCAGCTTGCACTCTGGGCACTCAACAAGGGGGTAGGGGCCGGGAGCACCGGCAGGGGATCCAAGAGGAGGAGGATCGGGGCTGCCCAGTGCAAAACCATTGCACAGAGCAGGTGAGTATGACATGTTTGTTGTTTATTTAAACCTGAACCTTTACAAATGCTTTAAGGCTAACATACATTTTAAACTGAACTCATAGATAAAATGCACATAGCTTGAGTTCGGTGCGGGGGAATGGGCAGCAAGGTTTTTTCCAGGCAAGTTCCATTTGGTGGTGGGGTGCTGGGTTACTTAACATCAGCCTGCTCGAGAACAGCCTTTATGGCTATATAGACTGTACAGAGGGTAGTTGAAAACTCCACATTCTACCCTTTTACCGTGATGCATATCTGATTCGACAAAGAAAAGGTGGTCTTACTGCCCAGTAGCGGGCCTGAAAGAATGTTTCAGGGACACAAACTGAGGAAGCGAAAGTGAAAGATAAACAACTGCTATGACAATTTTAGATCTATAAAATGCACTGGTAAGTACATACGTTTAATTTACAAACACAAATATAAAATAAAATGTGAGTATGTCCCTGTAAAATGTTAGATGTTGTGTGGGTAACATTTGATAGTTTTTTTTAAATGCATGAATTATCTATCCTGTCAAAAAAAGAGACCTTAAATGAACCAAGTAGAGAAATGGCAGCTCTTGTACAAGACAGTTCCTTCCAGCACAGTGTCCTCATGCTGTACTTTCATCGCCTCACTTCACTGGCATTTCATAATTATCTCTAATGAAGACAGAAGGCACTGCTGGCGAGGTTTAGGGGTTAGTTTACAGCCTCGCAAGTAAAGTTCCTGGTAATGAAGACCGGGATGAAAAAAGGTTACCTGTTCCCTGCTGTGACCTCCACACAAGTGTAAAAGGCAGGTTCACAGTCAAAATTATTCATGACGATGCCATGGTAGCCATTAATAACATGCTGATTAATTCCCTTCCTCCGAAAGTGCTCCAGAACTTTATTAATGCTGTCAATGCCATTTAAAATTGCCTGTCGAGAAAATTAAGATATGTTTACAAAACTTAAAATGTAAAAAAGCCAGCAACAAAACATTGATTTTACAATACATCTATGCATAACATTCTTTAGCTAATTAATGAACTTATCACCTTTCCTGTGGCAGCCCGGAGCAGCTGCTGTTTCTTCTCTAGATCCTCCCTCTTAGCCGCCAGGGCTTGCTGCTCTGCATTCTCCTCCCGCCACAAATAACTGGGAAACAAGTAATATAAAGAGATACGTTTAGGTTTAAAATGTCAACAACCTTCCTGCCTGGAGCAAAAGGCAACTAAAATCTCTAATTTCTAAGGACACCATATTAAAGTGGAACTTTTGGTAAAATAATAAAAATGGGCAAACAGGCAGGAATGTTACTGCAGAAGATAAATGCTCTGTTTACATTAAACATACCTACTGTAAAGTGCATGCGTGGCTCACTATACAAATTCGGCAAAGCCGAATCTGACTGGACTCTCCACTGTGCATGTGCGGGAGTGACGTCATTCCTGCCTGGCCAATGACAGCAGCTGGAGATCCGAGACTCGAAAGCCAGCCGTTCAAAGATGTCAGCGGCCGGGCAGGAAGCAGAGGGATGCCACATCGCTGGAAACAAGGTGAGTATAGTTCCACTTTAACCTAAGGTCTCACTTCCTGTGCAGAAGAGTATAGCTCACAAGAAAAGCAATGCGTCCTCCTAGTGGCAAGGATAATACCCCAAATATTCCAGTTTTGTTAAGGAAACCTGCATTTCCCCAGGCAAGAACCAGAAGCCTCAGCTCTACAATCCTATAAAAATTTGTAGAACATAAGTAAAACTGAGGTTTCTCCAATTGAATGTTCCTCCTTTGGGCAGGGCTACAACACTGGATATTTGGTATGTCCCCAATGAACAAGAAGAGAAGTGCTACTAATGATCCCTCTATCTGAAAAGACTAGTAGCATTAAAGTAGAACTATAGGCAAAACTTTTTCCCCATTTTGGATAGATTAAGGGATGGTTATAACCTGACAGATTATTCTTTGCCATCTGCGTTCCACTGGGGAGATGTCCCTTTACTTCCTGTCCTGTAGCCAAAACAGGGAGTGAGAGAAAATCCCAGCAAAATTAAGGGAATGCCTTTAGGGATCCGCAGGTCACCAGAATGAGTGTCCCTATTGGAATATTTCTCCACTATAACTTTTCTGAGCACAACCTGGAATTTTGGGTTTACTTTTAATAAAAATGGTAAACAAGACAAATAGAAAGGGTGAATCTCCCTAACGGGGGCACAGAAAATAATACAAAACTAATAGGTGTTCTAATCCATCTCAACTCTATCCAAAACTAAAAAAATTAAGTTTTGCCTTTAGTTATACTTTTAAGAAAAGGATTTTATTGTGCGTACATAAAAATACTGTTTTCTTTCTCACTCTTGTCAATTGAGGAACACAGGAAGTCTTCAACCTTTGGGTTGTCTGATTGTGGGCAACACAGCAAACAACTCTCAGCAAGCCCAAGCAAAAAAAAAAGAAAATATGAAGAAGCAGGTGAAACCCTACATACTCCATATGGATTACTAAAACGGGAATCAGGCCTTCTGAAGGAAGCAGTGGCAGAGAGAGAAACTCTTACAGCCCAGACCAGAAAGTATGATGGGTGCAAATGGCGGTTTCTGATACACAAAGAAAACCAGACTCAGATTCCAGGGAATCACAGGAAAATAGATGGGGGGAGCAAATTGGGAGTACCCCTGTACACAGGTCCCAATCAAAGAATGAGATATGCCAACAGTCTGACACAGAATAAAAGGACAGAAACCTTTCAGATGGGGCGGGTTCCTCAAGCGGATCTGCCTGCGCAGTGGAGCAGGGATCTCTCTGCTGATCCCGCTGACCAGGTGGATGACAGATCCGTGCCTGCTATGCAGAGCGGACACAAACACAGCCCGCTTTTTTTCTATGGGGCAGTCGGGTGGAAACAAACCGTCTGTCTGTTTCCATCCGAATGTCATCTGATCTGCTGGATGGATGGGGAACGGATATCCATCTGTTTTTAGCATACAGGACTGGATCAGATACCAGCGGACACATGTTCACTGACACCCGCCGCCCCATAAAGAGCTATGGATGGTCCAATTGGGTCCGCCTGAAAAACTGACAGGTGGACCCAATCAGACTTTCAGTATAAAAGGGGTCTTAAGGTGTTGACAGCAAAACAGTGACTCAGACCCAGATGAAGGAAGGAGAGGATTTGTCTCCTAGGAAGAACTCCATTGGGTGGAAGCTCTGAGACTCGCACTATGTGAAGTATGCCTTCCTTATCTGATAACAGACCTTGCAAGAAGTAGACTTCATTGCTTTTAGCATCATAAGAAAGCACAGACTCAGAGATCACTCAGCGATGTTCATCCTTCAGAAGTCAGGTTTTAAAAGCAATAGAGCAGAGACCATGAAGCAGAAAGGCAAAATGGTTCATGATCCTGATGATCTGATGAGTTCACAGAAGGTCTGTCAGGGGTCTTACCGGTGCAGCATATCACATTGCACTAGGCGAGTTCAGCGCAACAAGGATCATAAGAATGCCTTCCATCTCAATCTGGCAAAGGAAGAAACTTCTGGGGAGGAGAGGAAACAGCATCCACTGCTTTTGCTAAAGGATCCCTATACTTGGAGACAAACCTGTCCAATTTGTTGTTGAACCTGGAGGCGAGGAGATCCACATCCTTTGTGCCCCAAGTGTAGGGACCACTCTTCTGGGTCCAGGCGCTGCTGGATGAGGAAATCTGCCAGCCAATAATCTACACTTGAAATGTACATAGACAAGGTTGGAATATGAAATTCTGCCCAGGTCAAGATTTGATCTAACTTTTTTACCATGGTGAGACTTCTGGTTCTTCTATTATGATCAATTTACACTGTTACTGTGATGCTGCCTGACTGAATACAGATCAGATGAGACAGCCAAATTGTCTCAATGTTCCAGGATGTTGTTCAGATGAGACTCCAACAGTCCTTCACACAATTTCTTAACAGTCAGGGAGGAAAAAGACTTAGCGGTCTGTTCCTTGGGTATGATGATCATATGATTACATATGATGTAAACTGATCATGTAGTTTCATGGTGTCATTTTTTGTTCTATACTAACAATCTACAGTAGAGTAAATCTTTGCATTCCGGTGTCAGAAGTATCAGCCTGTGTTCAAACATGTGACACTGCAGAGGTTAATGCATGATCTGTTTGTACACTGCTCAAAAAAATTAAAGAAATACTTTGAAAACAAAATCAGATCTCAAATGGGGAAAAATATGCTGGATATCTATACTGATATGGACTGGGGAATGTGTTAGGAACGTAAGGATGCCCCATCGTTTGATGGAAATGAAAATTATTAACCTACAAAAGGACTGAATTCAAAGACACCCCAAAAATCAAAGTGAAAAAATTATGCAGCAGGACAGCCCATTTTGCTGAAATTTCACTGCAGCAACTCAAAATGGTACTCAGTAGTTTGTATGGCCCCCAAGTTCTTGTATGCATGCCTGACAACGTGGTGGAAGGCTCCTAATGAGATGACAGATGGGGGTTTATTTACTAAAGCTGGAGAGTCCAAAATCAGACTCCCTTCTGCATAGAAACCAATCAGCTTCTAACCTCAGCTTGTTCAATGAAGCTTTGGCAATGAAACCTGGAAGCTGATTGGTTTCTATGCAGAAGGGAGTCTGATTTTGGACTCTCCAGCTTCAGTAAATAAACCCCATGGTGTCCTGGGGTATTTCCTCCCAGATCTGGACCAGGGCATCACTGAGCTCCTGCACAGTCTGAGGTGCAACCTGGCTGAGCCAGATGGAACAAAACATGATACCCCAGAGGTGTTCTATTGAATTTAGGTTAGGCGAGCATGGGGTCATTCAAATGGTATCAATTCTTTCATCCTTCAAGAACTGCCTGAATACTCTCGCCACATGAGGCCGGGTATTGTCGTGCACCAGGAGGAACCCAGGACCCACTGCACCAGTGTAGGGTCTGACAATGGGTCCAAGGATTTCATCTCGATACCTAATGACAGTCAGGGTGTCATTGTCTAACCTGTAGAAGTCTGTGCATTCTGCCATAGATATGCGTCCCCAGACCATCACTGACCCACCACCAAAACAGTCATGCTGAACCACGTTACAGGCAGCATAATGTTCTCCACAGCTTCTCCAGACCCTTTCACGTCTGTCACATGTGCTTAGGGTGAACCTGCTCTCATCTGTGAAAAGCACAGGGTGCCAGTGGTGAAACTGCCAATTCTGGTGTTCAATGGCAAATGCCAATCCAGCTCTATGGTGCCGGGCAGTGAGCACATGGCCCACTAGAGGACCTCGGGCCCTCAGGACACCCTTATGAAGTCTGTTTCAGATTGTTTGGTCAGAGACTATTCACAGCATTGGCCTGCTGGAGGTCATTTTGTAAGGCTCTGGCAGTGCTCGCCCTGTTCCTCCTTGCACAAAGCAGCAGATACCGGTCCTACTGATGGGTTAAGGACCTTCTACGGCCCTGTCCAGCTCTCCTAGAGTAACTGCCTGTTTCCTGGAATCTCCTCCATGCTCTTGAGACTGTGCTGGGAGAAACAGCAAACCTTCTGGCAATGGCATGTATTGATGTGCCATCCTGGAGGAGTTGGACTGCCTGTGTAACCTCTGTAGTGTCCTTTAATTTTTCTTTTAAGTAGTATAAGGAACAACACCTCCTGTGAAGAAACTACACTACACAATTCCTGGGTCTCAAGAGTCTAGGGATCCTTAGGCGAAAGTTAAACAGTAATTAAAACTGACGCAAGACAAACCGGTAAAGAAAATTACAGAAAGATCACCATGCAGTCTTTCATTGCATTTGCCCTCCCACATTTTTGATGCACTTCAGAGGACGTGATGAGGCATGGAATGTGACCCAAAACAAGAAGTTGCCTGTTGTCCTAACATATAGGGACAAGCTCGGTGAATGAATACATAGACATAGGGAAATCGATTAGCTATGACACTACAAAAACTGCAGCCACACCATTTGAGCTCATCAATACAAGGTAAGAAACGAATGACACAGGGAATACAACTACACTAATACCCAACTAAAATATCTGAAAGTGTACAATGCCTTTAATAGGGAAATGCTGGATTTGCAGTGGGAAAGAACTACTTTTGCACAAAAAGCTTATCCCCTAGATTCAGGGTAGCATTTACTGCATTAATAAAAGCCAAAACGGTCAGACAGAGTCTGCAGGACAAAGCACAGAAGCATACCTGTGGATTTGCGATCAGAGTCAGCAAATAACTGAGTCAATTTGAGCAATAAAGGCTTGCAAATCCATTGTGAAGACCTCAGCTGAAAAGGTGAAGGACCATGACATACCTGATGAAGCCAGAGAACCTCAAGGACATGACAAAATTAACAGCAAAGGGTGACATGATTCCAAGCTGCAGACAACAACATGGTTGGCATTCTGCAAGCAGCCCCAGAGCCGTTAGCAGAAAGTGAGGAAAAGTCAACTGATAAAGCGAAACAGGCCCCTCTGTGTCTAGAATCAGACATGTTGCAATCGTGTGGTAGGACAACATGAGGTTTTACGTTAGAGGCGATACTTTACTTATGAGACCCACATAGCTGGTAGCATGTGAGGGTTAAATGGCTGGAGAGGATCAAAACCACTGTGGGTGGGCAGCAGGAACGAATCAAAGTTTGAAGTTCTATTTGACTTTTTGCAATCACACGTACCAGAGAGGAAGATGCTTCTTCAATGCTGTATAGCGGGGAATTAAAAAAAAAAAAAAAAAAAAAAAAAAAAAAGAAGGGGAGTGCACCGTGCGTACGCACAACATTCCTTGGACAATGCCACCAGAACTCAGTCCCACAATGTAAACTCCTTTCAGTGCAAAATTGGTAGGATCGGGAAATAGAGTCACATGGTGACCCATGTAAATGAGGTAAGCTCCCACTTTCTAAGTGAGTCTTTACAGATAGGGCAAGTGCTGAGGCAATGCCAGTGGCTCTGGTTTTGAAAAGTGTTCTACAGCTTTTACCATAGTAGAGTCTGCAAAGCTCCTCACGCAGAACCTAATATTTGAAGGTCACTTTCAGGCTATCCCCGCAACATCCCATCCGCCAGGGTCCAGACAGACACAGTATACCATAAGCCAGGCTGAGGACAATAGTACCAAAAGCTGGAACATCAAAGGAGACAAAACTCCAACAGCAATGTAGAAAAAGGGCCTTGACTAAAGGAGAAATTGCTAGCAAAAAATTAGGCTAGCAATTAGCCTACTGGGCACTTTCACCCCCTTCCTGCCGAGGCCAATTTTCAGCTTTCAATGCTGTCACAGTAAGAATGACTATTGAGTGGTCATGCAACCAACACTGTACCCAAATTAAATGATAATTTTTTTTGAGACATATAGAATTTTCTTTTGGTGGTATTTACTCACCAGTGGGGTTTTTATTTTTTTCTAAATGAAAAAAAGACCAAAAATTAGGAAAAAAAATAAATAATTTTTTCCTTCGTTTCCGTTATAAAATTTTGCAAAACAGGTAATTCTTCTCCTTCACTGATGTGCGCTGATAAGGTTGCACTGATATGCTGCACTGATGTCCTCTGATGTGTGAATACAGTTGCCGATACCGGCTTTCCTCACACTGTGACAGCATGAGTAAAGTGTGGCCGATAACCAGCAACTGTATTTACACTGTGATCAGCGGTGTCATTGGACATAGCTGATCACGTGGTAATAGGGTGCAGTGATTTGCCCTTTACCATGTCATATGACACAGCGATCACAGAACTCGTCGGGTGCGCGGGGGATACGTGGGAGGCGCGGTTCTGGAGGATGTTATATGACGTCCTCCCAGAACTAGATGACCATGCTGTAACCATCATACGGATTTAACCCGGTCGTCAAGTGGTTAACAGATCAGAGTGGAAGAAAAGACATCCATCCTTCGATGTGAAAAATACTGAGCCATAATGACAGTAATTAGGATTATGCTGGGCTGGAATACAGTTTGTTTGCCAGGAACCAATCTTGTAGAAGCAGCAGAACCCAAAAAATAAAGACTGTTTTCTTTAATGATGAGAAACAAACGTCTTAACTTGTACACTGCTGCCATATAGACAAAACATTTTTGTTTGCATTTTTTTATTAACACTAAAGTCTTACTTTCGCTCGCTCTGTAGCTCATCCTTCTTATTTTTCACCTCATAGTATTTTTTATCCAGTTCTTCCACCCGAGCTTTCACTTCATTCAGATCTTGATCTAGTTTCTAAGTAACCAAAGTGAAAAGCAAATCATCATAAACAAGACTTTTAATATTGTGCACAAATATTTCCCATATTCCTAAATATTGCTCTGTGTGGGTTCCCCTTGAAGTTGTATGGCCAATAATATTCAAGCAGTTTAGAGTGTTAATTTCCTCCTGTACATGTTTGTTCTAATCATCTAAAAAGTATGACAAAAAGAAAAAAAAAAAACAACACACACAGACACAAAAAGTCGGTCTCCCTCCTACACACACTAAATTCAAATTAATCCTGCCATCAGCACAACCAACAAATTTCAAAGGATTGACAAGGATTTGCACCACAAGATGTGTCCTGGGCGTTCCAAACTTGGACGAATGCAGTACTGACTTTTAGACAGTCCCATAATCACAACAGAATAGAGGTACTGACAGTGTCTGTGGTGCAATAAATAAGATGAAATGAGATGTGTTCAGACTAGGAGCAAAGTTTTCCTTCTTGAATACTGCATATCGGCACAATGGGATTCTGGTCAGGCCACTATCTGCATGAAGTTTGCACAATCTCCCTATGCTTGAGTGGGTTTTTTTGGAGCACACTAGCTTCCTCCCACACTCCAAAGACATGCTGGTAGGTTAACTGGCTGCTGTCTAAATTGGCCCTAGTATGTATGTGAGCTAGAGATCTTAAATTGTAAGCTCCTTCAGGGCAGGGACTGATGTGCATGTACAATATGCAAAGTGCAGCATGAATAGACAAAGAAATATAGTGTAAATGCCTGTATTAAATATATATTGTGCATGTCATGGGTTTACAGCCGCCATGATGCACTTGGGAAGGATTGTTTTATTGTTAAGCTTTGCCACCTTGAGTTTCTGTTTTTTTTAACCACCTCCCATCCGGCCATTGTATATAAACGGCCAGACGGGAGCAGTGCAGGGTCGGGTGGCCATTTATAAGCGGCCTCCCCGCACCCTGCTTGTGCACGCTCGCGGGGAGCACGCAGCACCGCGATCCGGTGCCCACCGGACACAGTGGCACATCGATCGTCAGACGGGACCTCTGTGCGAGGTCCCGATCATGTGATCACTGATTGGCCACATGATCACATGCACAGTAGTAAGCAAGATGTCACTTCTGACATCATTGCTTACTACCTGTGAATGATCACAGAGGTCACATGGTACAAGGCTATTCACAACAGCCTTGTACCATGTGACAAGCTGTGACCAATCACAGCTCACACAGTAGTTCTCAATGGCTGCAAGAATGCAGCTAGAGAGAAGGAGGAATGATTGCTTTTACAGCCTTTACGGGTGTAAAAGCAATCAGTGTAAAAAAAAAATCTTCATCACCCCCACAAGTAGTACAGTGTCACCATGGACTTTTTCATTTACATAGCAAAAAAAAAAATAAAAAATCCAAGTTGTGAATAAATGCCACCAAAATAAAGCTTTATCTGTCTCAAAAAAATGCTAAAAAATAAATATGGGTACAGTGTTGCATGACCGCGCAATTGTCATTCAAAGTGTGATAGCACTGAAAGCTGAAAATTGGCCTGGACACGAAGGGTGTAAAAGTGTCCAGACTGGGAGTGGTTAAACCAATCACTATAACAATTTGTACCCAGCTGTTCGTTACAGACATGGTCCCTTTAACCACTTGACCTCCACCCTATAGCAGATTTACTGCTACAGGGTGGACGTTCTGTGCAAAATCATATATATAAACGTCATTTTGCATCTCTGCTACGGGGGGGGGGCTGCTTCTGCTGTGACTGGACACAGCAGAAGTCAATCAACAGGTGCTGGCCAACAGATGAGCGCTGGCACCCATTGATCACTGAGGACCCTGACATAACACAGCTCTGCTTTGTTTACATAATCAGTGCTGTGTTATGTCAAACAGCAATAGCCTGCTTTTATTAAGAGAATAAAATTTAGCAGATTGCCTAGTAAAAACAGCACACAGTGCACAAAAACACTGGCTAGGCACAATTAACCCTTTGATCACCCTAGATGTTTAACCCCTTCCCAGCCAGTGTCATTACTACAGTGACAATGTATATTTTTAGCACTGATCACTGTATTAGTGTCACTGGTTCCCACAAAGTGTCAGCGTCAGACTGCTGCAATTTCGCAGTCCCGCTTTAAGTCGCTGATCGCCTCCTCCATTACTAGTATTAAAAAAAAAAATTCCAGTATATATACCGCTGTTTATAGACGCTACAACTTATGTGCAACCCAATCAATATATGCTTACTGGGATGTTTTTTTTTTTTTTTTTACAAAAATATGTAGCAGAATACATTTTGCTCTAAATTTATAAAAAAATTCGATTTTAAAATTTTTTCTATTGGATGTTTTATAGCAGAAAGTGAAAAGCTTTTTTTTTTTTTTTTTTAAATGTCTTTGTTTTTTCATTTATAGCGCAAAAAATAAAAATATGCAGAGGTAATCAAATACCACTGAAAAAAAGCTCTGTTTGTGGGGAGAAAAATGGCATAAATTTCATTTATGTACAACACTGCATGACTGCGGAATTGTCAGTTAAGGTGACGCAGCACTGCACCGCAAACAATGGCCTGGTCAGGAAGAGGGGGGTAAAACTTCCGGAGGACAGGTGGTTAATGAGCTCCCGTCACCAACAACCAAAATATTACAGGTAAAAGCACAGAAAAACCAAGTGCAATGTTCACCTTTGATAGCAAATTTTATGTTCTAAATAGTCAATTCCCTGGTAAAGCCCACTCCCTCCTTGCATGTCATAGCCCTCTCCTCTTCTGGGGGTGTCTAATTACTGTCTGTGCTAGCCCAGCCACTTTTTTCCTGCCCCCCTCCCCCCCTTTTCTTTAGAGATACATTTTACACCTACTAACAGTAGGTGAGCTGTAAAGAGGAAGGTGTGTGGGAAATATGAGCAGACCTCAAATTATACTGCAGTCAGGCTGCAATGTAATAACCACATCAATGTATGACAGCGTTTCTCAAATTCTAATAAAAGACGTGCTGCTTCACAATACAGATATTTAACCAAAGTGGGTCCCCATGTGGGTTTACACAGATCATGTGCTGCTCAGCATTGTTGCATGTACAACAGCTTCCTAAACAATCTCCACTGTTTTCGATAATTAAAACTTCTGATCCATTTCACATTAATTTTTTTTTACACTCAAAAAGAAACCACATCAGCCCAAAGCCTACTTACAGAGTACTGCTCAAGATTTTTCTCCTTATTTGCTTCAGTATCTTCCAGATCTTTGTGTATGGCAGCAATCTGACGCTTCTTGTCATTAATGGCCTGGTCTAAAGACTTGAGTTCTTTCTTAATCCATTTATCCCTCTCTTCTTTAGAGGTGAACTGGCTACCACGCCCCTGCTTGGCATACAGGTCAGTCCTCTCCTGTGTTGCTTGAGCCAATCTAAAACAAGTTTAAAGAAACATTAAAGCAGAATTCCAGCCAAACAGCAAAATACACATATTTAAATAATGAAATTGTAAAACACCTGTAACTTTGTTAAAGCATTTTTGTGGTTCAGTATATAATGTAATGCGGGGATGCTCTGTTGGTTCTTATTTTTATATTTCCCAGTGGGCACAACCCCTAAATGCAAAGTCCCACATACCTTGTTATACTTAAGGGGTTAATCCTCTGCATTGTGTAAAAATGCTGTTTGATCCTGACATCTATGATCCTCCCCTTCTTTCAGTGCCCCATCTTATCTCCTGATAAGACATATCATGTGAAGTCACTCTGCACATGCTCAATTTGGTGTGCATTGCTACAGAGGCTTTATTTTTTTGGATAAAGTGCATGTGATCAGCACAGAGCTAATCAGAACTGTCGAGACAGAGGTGGGGGGTCCTACATCCTTCTGCAACAGAATGAAAATCTCCTCCTACAATCTTTAACTTGTGCTCTGCTGGACACTGCTAGAAGTTACAAGACTGCTATATACTGCTGATGAGAAAAGGTATTTAGCAGTTTATATTTGCTAAAATAATTGCACTTCCATGTTCTATGGGAGACCAGATAAATTGAATGCCGGGTCCTGGGTTTAGTAAGACGAAGTCATTTTTGTGATTCATCACATCCCTACCATTTTATATAGTCTGGAAGGTGCAGAGACTATGCAGAGTCTACATTTTCTTTGTCGTCCTCTAACCTGCTCACTTGGTAATTAGCTGGCTATTATAAATACACATTCGGGCAGTTATACCTGCATCAGGAATTCAGCAATGATTCCTGATTCCTTAAGATACTAAACTAAAACTGTATCCTCAGTTTACTGGAAAAATAAACTAAACTTGCCAAGTGGCCATCCTCCTAGGGATGAAGCATATATATCAATAGCTCTGCTGCACATCCTTAAGAAGAAACAGAGAATATAGATTTCATGATTTATAAATAGCTGGAAAAAACAAAAAACTTTTTAGGATTACAAAGCACATTTACATCCCAAACGTTATCCATTTTGGTTAGAGTAGGGGGAAGGTTAAAACCACTGGGTGCTTTTCTGTTTTTGCTATCTGTGCCTCATTAGGGAGAATTCCCCTCACTTTCCATCTTAAAGATGCAACAGAAAGTGAGAGGATCTCTCCCCAGTGACAGATCTCCCCTCTTCAACAGTTGTAAAGCAACAAGTGTCTACACTGAAAGATTTTCCCTTCTATTTCCATTCTGGTGAGAACTCAACATTTTAAATTTACTCCTCACTAACATTATCCATGACACAGATGATCTGGACTATTACAGAGTAAATGTTCCTAATGGGAACACAAAAAGCAAAAAAAAAAAAAAAAAAAAAAAAAAAAAAAAGACGGGTTCAAATACGTTACCTCTCAATTACTCTATTAAAAAAAAAAAAAAAGACTGGTGTCTTTCTTCAACATTTTCTACTAAGCAACCTTAGGTTTTTTTTTTTTTTTCTTAATAATTACTGAAATTCTTATTTGGAATCTATTCACATTAGGTGAGCTGGCATACGTTGATCAAAGTATATCAGTGCACATACATTGGATACAATAGAAGCAGCTCCCACTAGCGCATTGCGCTGATGTGTGCTGCCCTGTATTAACCTCTTGCCCTCCAGAAGATTTACCGCCCATCCTGACCAGGCCATTTTTTGCTATTTGGCGCTGCGTTGCTTTAACTGACAATTGCGCGGTCAAGCATTGCTGTACATAAATGAAATTCATGTCAATTTTTCCTCCACAAATAGAGCTTTCATTTGGTGGTATCTGATCACTTCTGTGGCTTTTATTTTTTGCACTATAAATAAAACAAGACTGACAATTTTGAAACAAAAAAATAAATATTTTTGACTTTGTGCTATAAAAACATATCCAATATATATATATATATTTTTTTTTTTAGCGTCCACAAATGGCGGTATATATTCTGGAATTTTTATTTATACTAGTAATGGCAGAGATCAGCGACTTTATAGCAGGACTGTGGCAGGCATTCTGACACTGGCTGGGAACTAACTGCCACTGAAATCCCCAGTGACACTAACACAGTGATCAGTGCTAATAAAAAGCACTGACACTGTACTAATGACACTCGGCAGGAAGGGGTTAACATCTGGGGCAATCAAAGGGTTAACTGTGTGCAGTGTGTGTGTTTTACATTGTGTGCCGTTTTACTTGGAAGACATACTGCTTTGAATCTCTCAGCTGTGCAGAGACATAAAAAGAAGTATGTCCCTGCTGACAGCAGAAAGGCATGTGTTGTTTATACACATGTCTCTCCCCTGTCAGCTTTGCCGACGATCACCGAGTGCTGGCTGGGATCGGTGATTGACATCCCCAGACGCCAATAACGGGGCAGGTACGGCGGCGTGAGTGCCCCCTACCTGGAAAGCCATACTGCCCTGTAGCAGTACTTCTGCTATAGGGCGAATGGCAAGTGGGTATATGTATAAAAAAAAAACAAACACAACACGCTCTACCCTTTTTAGGCACAATGTAACAAGTAGCTCAATGTACATAACAGCAAGAATCAGTTGAATTTTGTTTCACAAATAAAGCTTAGTGAAGTAGTATTTCACATTTTAAAACCCAAATGTGAATTCATGACAATGTACATGCATTTACGCACACTCAATGCACACACGGTGGCCCCTAAACTACACACAACTACAAATTTAAAAAGGACAAATTTACAGGAAATTAAGAAGTTGGGAAAAATAAGCTTTGACTCGCAACAGAAAAAGGATGGAATTATAATATCAAAGTTGCAGTTTTATTTATATACCCTGACTCCAGAAGTTTGATTAGACCAGTGTTTCTCAACTCCAGTCCTCATGGACCCCCAACAGGTCATGTTTTCAAGATTTCCCTCAGATGAAACAGCTGTGGTAATTACTAAGGCAGTGAACTGATCAAATCACTTGTGCAAAATAATGGAAATCCTGAAAACATGATCTGTTGGGGGTCCATGAGGACTGGAATTGAGAAACACTGGATTAGACAAAGTCTGTTCTGAAAGAATGCTACTATATGCATATACTGCTATATATTTACAAGGTCAAACGAAAGCAAAATATCCTAATTGTCTATTTGGACATTATACAATAACTAAAGGATTCAAAAGCACTCTGGCTACTGGACAGGAAGAGACACATCTACATGGCATGTAAGCACTTGGAACACACCTTGCAATGCCGCTTTCTTCTTTCTGTTTCACACTACTGAATTTGGGCTCCGTTTCAGCCAGCTCCTTCTGCTTCTCCTCAATTTTCTCCAGTAACTTCTGCCTCTCTTTTAAGAGACGTTTCTAAACAAAAAAAAAAAAGAAAGGAAAAAAAAAAAAACACAAGTTAAAAGAGTTTAAAGCTTGCCATATGCAGACACACCAGTCATCCTTCACATTCCGCAGCCATAGTTACCCTCTGCTCACTGTTCCCAGCCAGTTCATCCTGCAGATCCTTGGCTTTCAGCTCTAGTTTGGTTCTCTGTTTTATCTGCTCCTGCCTTTCTGCACTCAGTTGCTCTTTCTCCTCCTTCATCGCCGAGATCTTTGATTTCAACTCGCGCACTTGACGCTCGATTTCCTAATGAAACACAAATAAACTGGTTTCCTTAATCTGAAAGCACATCACATAATATTCTAGCCACAGATCAAAACAAAGCATACTCACCTTTCCTTTACTTCACTTCTGCAGCTCCATTCACCAGAGCAGCATGCTAGTTACCCCGTGATAGTCCTGGGCCGAACACCAGAATTTTTACATGGGAAATTTCTGGTAACATTAAAAATCTCTCTCCTTTTTGCTCACCAAAATTCAGACAACACTCCAATTACATATCTTTTTTTTTTTTTCTGTTTCCCAAAGGCACGATCCTTCTAGGTATAAACGTCACAGCTGGCATGACAAAGCAACTTCCTACTGGTTGTCCGGCAATGGGGGTCATCTGAGGATCCAGAAGAGGAACCTCAGTGGTGACACCGAGAGGAGACCATTGGATGTAGGCACATCTACACCGCTGGATTACTGGTCTCCAGCAACTGGAAGTGGTGCGGGTGAGGGACCTGCACAGCAGACTAAGGGAAGTAAAATATGCTTCAAAAAGGTAAAAAAACAAAAAAAACACAACACCATGAAAAACAGGTGAGAGAAGGAGAGTTTTTTTTTTGCCCTGAGAAGCCTGGATTTATATTCTAGAAAGAAGGAGCTTACATTTTCTTCTGCTATGATGGCAAATGTTGGTGAACGACAAGAGGCCCCCCAACTGTTTATTATTGTCTAGAAACCTAATGAATACCCTGTTGCAATCCATTTGAAGTCCTGATCCACTGATTTCTGGAGGTCTGGTTCAAGTAGACGTCTGATTAAAACCTAACTTAGCTTAAAACCTGCTCCCTCTCCCATTCTAAGCCCTACACTAAACTACCCTTCAAAGAAAAGATGCCTATACTTACGTAATATAAGGGATCTCCAGTCCAGTCATGTGATCTCCCCAGTGGCTGACTTCAGTGAAGAGGAGAGAGCAGGGACAATGGCTGCAGGGTATGGGCGATAATGCCACCCATACACTTACTATGGGGCATCCTTTGTCATCTGTCCAGAAGCCGGCACTGGGAGCCGATCATGTGACCAGAGTGCCCTTACATTAAGTATAAATTAAGTATAAACAGCTTTCCTTTATAGGTTAGTTAGCATGGGGCTCAGAATGGGGGTGGGAGCAGGTTTAAGCTTATTTAGTTTTTTACTATATTTCAACTTTAATTCAGCTCATAGCCAACATTTGTATATAAACTAAAACCTGTAATTACCTCCTTAAGACAATATCTTTAAAGTGATTGTAAAATGTGGGTATCACCCACAGAAGCGAAGGAATGCCTTGGGGGCCGATTTGTAAAACAGAAGTACGGTTGAACCCAAAGCTATATTCCTGTTTGAAAAATAAACATTAAAAAAAACAAAAACCTGACCTGTCAATGAAATGTAATCATCTCTCCTCCAACCATGGTGCTCTCTCTTGTGCTTCAAGCAGAGAGAACTGCCCAGGTTACTGCAGGCTACAGATGTGGCCTGCATTTTATGAATACGCTATACAATGCTAAGCATTGAATAGCCCTGTGGATTATAACTGAGAAAGGATAGCGATATCTGCACTGTTATAAATGAGCCCCTTAGTGTCTGGAGTCCTATAGGCAAGCCGTATACTTCAGAAATCTATTGCAAGTTTTAACAGGAGCCCTCTTAACTACTGTATCCTAACTCGATTTCCCTTACTGATGAACATTTATGAACAGAAACATTTCAGCCAAACTCTCAAAGCCTGGCCAGGTAACACTTTATAAGCGATGTTATCAATACTGCCAGACAAGCACTAAAAAGTCACCAGAAACTTTTTGCCTTGTTCAGACCCCATAAACAGAAATGAAAACACTCACCTCCATTTTATCTCTAGCATCTTGTTGAGCATCTCTCAACTGCCTTGATTTTTCACCGCTGGTCTCACGCTTTGAGGAAAGCTAAACAAAATAAAAGGAGGAAATAAAGTGTTGAATAAACCATTTGAAAAGTTACAAGATATATATATGTCCAAGACTATAATAGTTATATGTTGGTGGTTGGGTCAATAGACTTGCCTCGTCCATTTTGGCCCGTGTTTCATTCAGCTCCTGGTTGTAGATGGTATACTCCAGTGCTCTCCTCATTTTGTCCCATTTCTGGTATTGGGCAAGTTCTTCCTTCTCTTCCTCTAGGGTGTGCAATCGCTCTTCGATGTACTTCAGTAGCTCATTGATTTTTTCACGCTTACCCTCTGTAGTAAATCAAAGTGATGTGTGACTAATGATCTGATATACCTTCACAAATGCTAAGTAGGGGAATTTTACTAACCAGTTTCCTTCATCAAGGAGATACTCTCTTCTTTCCTCTCATCGTACACCCTAGTCCCAGCTACTTCCCGCAGCAACTTCAGACGCTGAGAGTCCGGAGCTGTGGCCATCTGATTAATCTGAAAGAAGCAATGCAACCAATTTGCCACCACCCAAAAAGGTATACAAGTCAGCAGTTACAGAGCAGGATTTATTGGTAGCCTAGCAGTTCTCAAACCTTTTCTGGTGCAACCCCTTTGGAAGAAGTTGAACTTTCATTCCCCAACTTTACACATTTTTTAGATGAGTCATATATACAGATAATACAAAAAGGGACACATTTTGTTTTATTGAAATTGATAAAACAGGAACTGCATTTGTAGTCCACAGTTGAAGGAACCTGGGTGCACCCTAAAAGACATGTAGTCCTGTACCTATATATATTTTGCCCCAGGAACATGCTACCCAGTAGTGAAACACTTTTTATAGAGCCCAGATGCTGTTTTTTATGGCCAAACCTGCATGATCAAATAGACTCATCCAAAATGGCTGCCAGAGTCAACAGTTACAGACACCTTTGGTTTATGTTGTTGCTCGACTTCTTCCTTTCTAGTGCCATGATCGACTGGATGATGCCTTGTGACCATCGCCCTCTCAGATCACTATGGTACACTGAACAGGTTTCCATAGTGATCCTAGCCAGCAGCTTGACAATGCCACCCACAGCACACCCTCAGGGGCACTTCTGAGTAAATAAGATGTCAAGCACACATAGTCCCCCTTCCCCATGCGGTGACATTGTTGCCCCCAAACAAGGTGTACACTTTGGCAATCACTGTGTTAGCCTAAAAAGGCACTGGAGTAAAATCTACTAATCTAAAAATGAAACAGGAGAGAAGCAAAACTAAGGGCTGGTTCACACCAGGCAAGTGCATTCCTGTTCATTTGAATAGGCTGAAATCAACCTGCACAGCACCAAAAGCACATGCATGCAATACTTTAAAAAAAGCACTGCAACCGGATTGTATGGTACTTCTGTACTATGTGATCCGGTGCAGGAAAATGCACTGCGCTTGTGACCTGCATTTAGGAGGTTGTTACCATTGTACTAACACCCGCTTCAGAGTACAATGCGTTTTGAACGTGGTGCAGGAAACGAGCATGGCACGCGGGTTTTCCACACAACATCAAAAGCTACATTTATGTAAACTTCAAAATAACTTATACTTTTTGGATCAATCTGTCCTTCTCAACCAGGGTTCTGTAGAACCCTACAACACCTCCAGAGGTTGCTAGGGGTTCCATGAACAATGAGCAATTTCTGCTGCTTGGATTAGTACCCACTGACACCAGCACCACTCTTTAGCTTTCAGATGTAAGGGGAAATTCTTCCTACTGACCACAAATGTAATAAACATTCTTCCCAATGACCACTAACATAATACTAATATATCCTGAGCGGAATTATTTTCAGGGATCCCCTGAAACCATTATTTCAAAGACTTCTCCATTTTAAAAAAGGATAAGACAGGCTGGCTAAAGATATTATTATACATTCACTTAAAGTGGAAGAAAGGTCTCATGCACACAGGACATTTTAAAAGTGCTACTCCTCTTGGTAGCAACGTTTTGGCAGAAAAAAAAAAAAAAAAACGCCTGACACTTTTAAAACCATTTAAGTTTGTTTAAAAGCATCAAGCACTGAAACGTTAATTCATTTCATTGGCCAGAATAATAATTTATTCTGGTCATGGAAATGAATTAACGATCAAGCACTAATCGCACACGAGTTTATACGCCTCAAGCATTTTTTGTGCCAAATCGCTGCTGCTCCTGGATGCACTGGCAGTGGGTTTTTCTTACAGCTCCCAAAAGCCCCTGCCACTAAAAGCTTCTAAAAGTCTATGTGTGTGTGGACATAGAATATGGAAGGCTGTTTGGAAGCGGTTTAAAAAAAAAAAAACAAAAAAAAAAAAAACACCCTAAAAGTGGCTGCAAAAACACCCTTTGTGCATGAGGCCTAACTCATCCTAAAAATGTTCCCTCGTCCCTCTAGCTACCTACCCTGTCAAAAAAAATCTACGTACTTAATCCCTCTCTGATCTGGTCATGTGATTCTGCAGCTCCAGGTTTGACAATGGCCGTGAATTATGGGAGCCATGACGTCACCCATAGGCTTCAATGGCCCAGCTGATGTTGACACAGGGGTGCACAATTTTATTTTTTTTAACCACAGGATAGGTAGGAGGAGAGGGAGGGAAACATTTTTAAGAATAGTTATAGTTAGGCTTTTCTTCCACTTTAAACAGATTTTATGTTCTCTTCAAATTTCTTCACAGATACAATAACATTTAACACATTCGATAAAAGCACTGTCACAGGGGATGTGTTTTTTAAATAACCCATGACAGAGAACAGATGCACTTAAAAAGATATTTTTTAATTTTGCCTGCAAGTTAAACCTCTGTGTCTACTTATTGCGATAGTATAGACTGGCTGAGATACTATTTAAAAATAAATGTATTATTGAAGAAATGGCTAGTGAGTATTTGGGTTCTTTTGTATTTCCATCTAAAACTGCACTTCAAATATTACAATGCCACCAGTTATAAAAGAACATACCTTTCCCTGTTTAACAATGTAGTAGGGATTACTGCGGGAAAAGCCAGCGCTTTCCAAAAGATTCATTACATCATTTTTCCTGTAGGAAATAGGAATTGCACTGTTAGTGTTGAACACTATACAACTCGAGTAAATACTAACAATTTAAACAAATACACAACGTGATATAGCTTTTTTGAAATCCCAATTTAGCATAGGTTAAATATACTGTGGATGTAAACCTCAAATGGGTGACCTTTAGTTTGCTCAGTGTACTGTATATGAAATAACGGTTTTCCCCCCCATAACACATAGACTTCAGCAAGTGCATGTGACAGTGTAATAATGCAGGTGCAGGAAGTGTCTTTTTTAATAGGAATCTTCATTTCAGGATCTCAGGGAGTATTTTAAGAAAAACAGCAAATTAAAAAAAAAAAAAAAACTACATGAACATATTAAAGTGTATTGAGGTTTCAGTAAATGAATTTAGATTTACTTGAATTCTAAAATCTAATACAGAAGTAGCATTACACATTTGCTGGCTTTCAATTTGTGATTATTCTGAGAAAGGCTCTCCTATAATGTGGAATAATAATGCCAAGTGGCCTACTCTGCTAATCATAAGCAGTCAGAAAAGTCTAAATATCTGTGTCAACACTTACGTCACCATTTTCTTGTCTAGGAAATACTGATCCTTTTTGGCTCCAATCACTCTTCGCAGCGACACCTCCTCCTTGTCAATCTAATTAAAGAATTAATAATGTCAATACAATCATGGAGCTTTATAAGTTTCATAAATCAAATAAAGAATTGAACGTACTGGCAATCTGTTGTCGGAGTTATCGAATATAATTTCCACGAAGGCAGAAATGACTCGGGGACCTGTTCCTTCCTGAAGGAAAAAGTATTTTTAGTTTTGCTGTATTTACATCTATCTTATATGCCAAAAAGCTGTCTTCTAAAATAAAAGAACTGCTCCACTGCTCGCCTGATGGTTGTTACTGGCTAAAATGGAATTCCAAATTAAATCACTACAATATTGTGTTAGCAAACTTCCACAATTCTGGCTCTAAAATTAAATTAATTGCTCTCATTGTGTGCTCTACAGTTGTTCAAATTCCATATTCTCAGGATTGTACATACAAGGCATCTCCTTTCACTTTACTTTACTTCTTCATTCAGACTGGCAATGTTTTTCCAGCCCATCCTCTATCTTCAGTGTTGCCCTTCTTATTTTGCATGCTACAGGTTTCCCCTGGGAGGAAACCATGCTTTGGTCTGAGGCCCACCATTATATGAAAGAACACATCCATGGTATCACTTTAGATGTGTATGTTCCTCTCTTCTGGCTAAATATGTGTGTTATTTCATATAACATTCAGGCTCAGTTTTGTCGTGTGCTGAAACGAATCTTAACACCAGTATCAGACAGAGATGTGTGCATGTGCATGGTCTACATCATATAACCACAAAATAAAAAAAAAAAAAAAGGAAAAAATATCAGAGATTGGTGAAATTATGTGGTTTATGGGCAGTTATTTTTAGGGTCTTATGTAATGCTCATATGCAAGACATACAGTAGTTCTAATGCATTTACATTCATTTGAATTTCTGCATCTGTCTCAGCTGGAAGCAACTATTATGTGACACATGCCAAGAACTACAACCAGTCAATTCACAAACAACTACCGAAGCTGCCACAAGTGTTCTGATTAGCCTACTGGTCTTCTTCAGTTAATTGTGTCTTTAATAATGCAAGATATAGAAATAACACAAAGGAAATAAAATACTACTATGTCTAGTATTAAATGAAAAAAAAACAATAAAAAGAACAATTAAAGATTTGCAAAATATGAGTTACACACATGTAGAAGAGCCAATCTCTGCTCTGGTCGGAGATGACTGAATTCATCACTAAGAACAAATTGGATGGCTAGAAAGGAAGAGAATAAAAAAAATAACTAAGTACAAAAAAAAAAAAAAACCCAAACATTCACATCATAATTGATTTCAAAACACACTCTATATTTTTATTTCATGCTTAACACTGAACTCCAGGCAGAGAGAACAAATTAATACATCAAAGTATGTCTTAGTGATTGTAAACCCTTACATATACTCAGTGAAGTGACTGGCCTCAGGTGATATACAGAGATGAAACAAATCCTCCTTCACAAATAGTACTTGTCTATCTGCAGTCTTTTCTGCTAGAATTAGGTCTTCTCTAAGTTTTTCGGAAAAAAGGGGCTGCCAGCTGAAGTTACACTCAGCAGAGTTCAGTGAGGAGAGCTCTGAGAGCTGATTGGAGGGAAGAGACACCCCCCTCCACACAACTCACAGGAAAAAGGGTTGATGCTGTCAATCTGCTGGAGCTCCCTCCCTGTCACTATTTTTCTCTTGGTGTCAGGAATCACTCAGAAGTGATAGCAGAGGAACAAAGCAGCAGACATAAATGACACTTAGTGCTCTGGATAGAGACAACTACACACTATATGCTTTGTTCAGATTTCATTTCTGAGGTTTACAACCACTTTAATGCATTGTTAAAAGTATAGATAAACCGAATAGAAAGAAAAAAAATAATTTGCCAGATAAACCTGCTCCCTCATGTATACTTCAACTATGCATTTCGCAGTTTACCCAATATCACAGTTCGAAGGCAAAAAAGTTACATTTTTCAGAAGTGCAAAAAAAAAAAAAATATTTAGTTTGGTGTGGCTGACAGAAAATCTTGCAGGTTGTCAACAGTTGCCAATTCTGCAACATGGGGAAAAATTCATGCCCTTTCCAAGGACAGCAAGACCCTGTCAGCACAGGGCTCCTTCTAAACACAGGGCAAACCGCAAAAGAAGTGTAAATATGCTCACCTTGCCTGCAGTCTGTCTGTTGAAGTCTGCTTAGCTGCTCCTTGGGATCAGCATGTATTCCATACTTCAGGAAGTTTAGAATGCCTGCTTCCCACTGTTTGCTGTCATTCCTCCGCCTGGCTCATAAGCCATTACAGGCCATACAAGTCAGTGCTGTGTGTGGTAACAACAGTAGCAGGTATTCAACTCACCTGAATACCTGCAGCAGCTGAAAAAGCAGCGAAGTGGCAGTTTTTTTCAACATACCAGCAACAGTAAAGCTAAATATGTTGACTCTTCTTTAACACGCTGCCTTGTTTTAAGAAACGCCACAAAAAATCATGACTGAAAAAAGCAATTAGGATACCATCTGTCATCAAAACTCAGAGCAGCAAACTGCTAAATACATATATTGGCAAATCAGAAGCCAGTCTTATAATTTACACACATTTTTCACACTGTACAGCCAGACTAGTGATTTCCACAGTACCCGATTCATCTTCCATGTTACCAATTGCAAGATTTATCCCCCTTCATGACCAGGCCATTTTTTGCTATGCGGCGCTGCGCTGCGCTACTTGAACTGACAATTATGCAGTCATGCAACACTGTACACAAGTGAAATTTATATCATTTTGTTTTTCACACAAATAGAGCTTTCTTTTGGTGGTATTTGATCACTGGGTTTTTATAAATTTTCTGTATATATTGAAAAGAGACCAAAAAAAAAAAAAAAAAAAAATTTTTTTTTTTACTTTTTGCTATAATACATATCCATAAGGAAATAAAAACAACATTTTCTTCATAAATTTAGGCCAAAATGTGTTCTGCTACATGTCTTCTGTAAAAAAAAAAAAACAAAAGCCCAATAAGGGTATATTAATTGGTTTGCATGAAAGTTATAGCGTCTACAAATGGTGGTATATATACCAGAATTTTTTTTTTTTTTATACTAGTAATGGCAGCGGTCAGCGACTTATAGCGGGACTGCAATAGTACGGCAGGCATTCTGACACTAACACAGTGATCAGTCCTAATAAAAAGCACTGACACTGTACTAATGACACTGGGCAGGAAGGGGTTAACATCTGGGGCGATCAAAGGGCTAACTGTGTCAGGGAGAAATTACACTGTGTGTTGTTTTACTAGGGGACATGGTGGTTTTTTTTTCTGTCTCCCTGCTTTGCAGAGAGATAAAAACCAGCATGTCCCGGCTGACAGGAGAGAGATCAGCTTACAGACAGCTCTCCTGTCAGCTTCTCCTCCGATCACCGAGTCTCGGCCATGAATCGCTGGCTGGGACCCGGTGATTGACACCTATAGGAGTCAATGACCACATAGGCAAGACGGCATACGTGTGTCCCCTACCCGGAAATGCAAAATCACATATACATGCGATTTTGCCCAGAACTGCTACAGTTTAAGCTGTTTATATAGCTGTTTGCCTTGCGTTCCTCTTCAATAGAATAAAAAAAACAATCTTACCGTAAAAGAAATTACTCTTGCCAGATCCATTTCTTCCCACTGTTAAAAAAAGAAAGAAAAAGAAACTTTAATAAAATTTCATGGGAAAAAGCCTTTTCTTGAAGTGGCCCCTATCCCTGAATAAAGGGAAGCTCAGCTATAAACATTTGGAGAAAAATGTGCCTCACACCCTTAGTTTTCAGCTTAGTCAAAAGGTGATGCCATTGGGCCTTCTTGTGTGATCCTGGGAAATCTAAGGATTCTAAAATATTATTATATTAATATTACACAAGATGTATATAGCGCCAAGAGTTTGCGCAGCACTTTACAACATGAGGGCAGACTGTACAATTACAATACAATTTAATACAGGCAGAATCAGAGGGCCCTGTTCATTAGAGCTTACAATCTAAAAAAATGATACAAAAGGGAATAACTGTGGGGGATGAGCTGATGAAGAAAATAAAAGTAGTTATTAGGTAGCAGCAGGATAGGCTTCTCTGAAGAGGAGGGTTTTCAGGGACTGTCTACAAGCAAACAGAGTAGGAGATAGACAGATTGGGGTAAGAAATTCTATATTATAGGAGAGGCTCAGGAAAGTCCTAGAGGTTAGCATGGAAGGAAGTGGCAGGGTAGCTAAACAGCAGGAGGTCTTGGGAGGAACGAAGAGAACGATTTAGTTGGTATTTTGAGACCAAGTTAAGTGATGTAGCTGGGGGCCGAGTTGTGGATGACTTTGTAAGTATTTTGCATTAAATTTGTTGAGTGAGCGGAAGCCAATGGGGGGAATGGCAGAGGGGTAGCAGACACTGAATGGTTGGTAAGGTGGAGGAGTCTGGTAGCAGTGTTCATGATGGAGTGGAAGGTGGATTACCTAGGTAAGTCAATGAAAAGTGAGTCACGGGAGATGACCAGGGAGTGAATTAGAAGCTTTGCAGTATCATTGCTTAGGAAGGTGCATATTTTAGAGATGTTGCGTAGGTTGAGGCAGCAAGATTTGGACAGTGATTGGATGTAGGGTCCAAAGGATAGTTTAGATCACAAGTTTCACCTTGACGTGGACAGGCTGATAGTTGTGCCATCAATCTTAACAGAGAGGTCAGGGGAAGGGGTACATGGGGGAGGAAATATTATGAGGTCAGTTTTGGATACATTGACTGAGGAAGTGATGTGACATCCAGGCTGATATGTCTGTCCTATGCATGTGCTCCTGCACAATGCTTGAAGCCTCTTCTAGCAAGATTCAGGATCCTGAGTTGCCTCAGGATTCTGCTGTAAGGCCCAGTGATGTCAGCGGCATCCAGAGAAGTGCCTGGAACCCCAGCAAGTAAAAAAGTATTTTATCAATTCTGGATGAAATGCAATAGAATTAGATGTTTTGCATAGTTTTTATTGTGGTCTGTGTCTGCTTTTAGACAGCAAGTGTACAATCCAAACGCACAAGTTCCTGCATTAAAAATGGCTGTGTGTATAAGTGGGTGCTGCAGCGACCGACGGCTGGAACCGAACAAAATCAGCAAGGAAAAATGTCACCAGTGCACCGAGGATCACCAATATGGGTCCAAAGGTTTTAATGAACGATCACATAGTTACTGCAAGGTAACGTTTCGGAGTCTCGCAGGACCCCTTCTTCAGGAATGTGCCTGATGACGGGGTCCTGCAAGACGTTGCCTTGTAGTAACTATGTGATCGTTCATTTAAACCTTTGGACCCATATTGGTGATCCTCGGTGCACTGGTGACATTTTTCCTTTCTGCTTTTAGACAGGTCACAAGAGCAAGAGGTGACGGGAAATCTTCCAATGGGCACAAATGTTCTAGTGATCTAAAATGGGAATTCGCCTTTCACTTTAAAATTTCCTCCCACTTCCTGCTATCTTCAAGACAGGAAGTAATGAGGAATACCACTAGCAAAACACATATAGCAAAAAAAACACCTGATAAGAGCTTTAACCCATCACCACTATATTCATAATACTTTGGGCTACCCTTACACTTTAAAGTATTTTTATAGCTTTCACTAATTTTTTTTCTTTTTATGCAGTTGATGGGGGATTGCAGCCTAAGTAGACCCTGTGTTTTCATGCAAGGTCGGCCTAAACTTTACTTTTGTGCCATCAAAAATAAAGCGGTTAAAAATAAGTTGCTATTAACTTGTGTTCATACATACCAATAACATTGTGTTTTGAACTAAAAGGATCAACAATAGTCTGATCTCTGTAGCTGCGAAAGCCTTGAATGATCACCTGAAAAGAAGAAAAAATAGAAACATGCCATAAGAGTCATTTCATCTCATTTCAGCGCATCTCTTCTCATTGGGCACTGGAACTGTACACAAGAGGAAGTGTGGTTCAATCAACTTCTAAAGCAGTGAGGGATGCCACTATGAAAACAAGCTAATTTCCTAAACTGGACATCCAAAATAATTTGTTCACCCTGCAAGTAAACCTGTCGCCCGATTGCTTCCACACATTGCCAGCCTTTCCACCCTCCCCCCCCCGGAGGTCTCCTGAGCTTCACTTGCCCAACTGAGGGCCGGGGACTCGCTAGAGGGGAGGAGACACGTCCACTCCCTCCCTCCCCTTCTTGTCCTGACCTGGAAGTGATGTTATGATGTCACTTTCGGGTCCCCGTTCAGAGATTCCCAGCCATGGTAACCAGGAAAGAATGTAAGACTTTGTCCCCTATGTGATGGAAAAAAAAAGTTTTTTTTTTCTTTTTAATTGTAAAAAAATGAAAGTTACACCCAAGCACATACCATCCCCCCTCCAAAAACAAATAAATTGAGGCCCCCCACATATACGCAAGTGCAAACATAAAAGCACACGCTGGGGAGCCTACGCATGAAAATGTCAAACGCATGACATGTTAACATGTTACATATTGACACGCACACCAAAATGAGAGCAATAATTCTAACACCAGACCTCCTCCATAACTAATGACCTATAAGAAGCTTTAAAAGTGTCACCTATAGAAAATATAGGGTACTGAAGTTAGTCGCCATTTCACGAGCGCGCACAAATTTAAGGTTTGACATGTTGGATATTTACTCGATGCAACCTCGTCTTTTTATATTTTACAAAAAAATTGGATAATTTATTGCTTTTTTGTGCCCTAAAATTAACTTAAATTAATTATTTTTTACTGAACGTTTGCGGCAATATCGTGCGACTGAAAAAATTGGAACTACTATTTTATTCTCTAGGGTCTCTGCTTTCAGAAAATATATATTTGGGGGTTTTATGTAATCTTCTGGCATAAAATGATTTTTTTAAACTTGTGCAAAAAATGCAAAAATGGCTCTGGCAGCGAAAAGTAGGATAAGCCCCGACCCACTCTTTCCTGAGGAGCAGCCAATCGGTGCTCAGTACACTGCAAGGTCCCTCCCCTCCCTGCTAGTCCCCTGGCAGTGCTGGAGACAGACAGGGAGGGGAGAGGAGGAGATAAACAGCGCAATGTTAAAAATATTAAAACGTAAGTCACCATAAAGCCCCTTTTGTTATCAAAAGCCCCCGACATTCCTAATATCACCCAAGATTCCACCGCTTCCCAACCACCCAATAGCAGAAATACTGCTACAGGGCGGCAAGGGGTGCCCAAAATCACGTGTATATATACGTGATTTTGCATTTCCAGTTAGGAGGAGCGCACGCGCCCTACCTACGCTGCCATTTACGGCTACGGCTGTCAATCACTGGGTCCTGGTCGGTGATGACTCGCCGGCGCCCGGTGATTTCTGACAGGGAGAACTGTTTTGTTTACAAACAATTCTCCTCCCTTTCAGCTTGGGCACACTGCTTTGGATGGCTCTGCTCAGCACAGCCATCCAAAGCAGTGTGATTACAGTGAAGCACACAGACACGCCCCCTAGTAAAACACAGTAAACCCTTTGATCACCTCTCATGTTAACCCCTTCCTGCCCAGTGCCATTAGTACAGTGTCAGTGCTATTTTTTTTATAGAACTGATCACTGGATTACATAGTTAGTCTGGCTGAAAAAAGACAAAAGCCTATCCAGTTCAACCATTAAAAAAACAAAAAAAAAAAAAAAAGATATAATCCTATACCCACAGTTGATCCAGAGGAAGGCAACATCAACAGTGACACCAAGTCAGCCACCCCCCCCCCCCCCCACCAGTGTCAGAATGTCCACCGCAGTCCCGCTATAAGTCACTGATCGCCGCCATTACTAGTAAAAATAAAATAAAAGATCCCAGTATATTTCCCGCCATTTGTAGACGCTATAACTTTCCTGTAAACCAATTAATTTACATGTATTGGGGTTTTATTTTAGCAAAGACATGGAGCAGAGTACATTTTTGCTTAAATTTATGAGATTTGATTTTTTTTTTTCAATTTTTTTTACTGGACATGTTTAATAGCAAAAGGACAAAAATATAGTTTTTTTTCTCAAAATTGTCGGTCTTATTTTGCTTATAGTGCAAAATATAAAAACAGCATAGGCGATCAAATACCACCAAAAGAAAGCTCTATTTGTGGAAAAAAAAGGACGTAAATTTCATTTTGGTGCAGAGTTGCAGGACTGCGCAATTGTCAGTTAAAGTAATGAAGCTCCGCAACGCAAAAAACTGGCCTGGTCAGGAAGGGGGAGGGGGAATCCTCAGGAGGGTAAGGGGTTAAATACGGTTTGGTTTTTTTTTATCAGGACAAGTAGACTGGGCCCCAATTTAGTCCCTAGACAAGTAGTTTTTTCAAACATTTCCACAACCCTACAGTGGTCAGTATATGAGGTGTAGTACAGTGTTCAGTACATGTGGTGTGGGGGTGTAATACAGTGGTCTGCATAGGAGGGGCAGTGCATAGTGCAGTGGTCAGTATAGGAGATGCAGTGTGTAGTACAGTGGTCAGTACGTGTGAAGTGTAGTACAGTGGTCAGTATATGAGGTGTAGTACAGTGGTCAGTACATGTGGTGTGGGGGTGTAATACAGTGGTCAGTACAGGAGGTGCAGCGCGCAGTGCAGTGGTCAGTACAGGGGGTGCAGTCTGTGGTCAGTACACGAGTGTCGGTGTGTCTCCCGGGCCCGGTCAGTATACGGTGTAGTACAGTAGATGTCTCTCTGGCCCAGTCAGGCCTCGTCTCTACAGCCGGCTCCTTCTCGTCCTGCTTCGGTCCCTCCGCCCGGTACCTGTTTGATATACATGTCCGCAGCGATCCGGGGCCCTCCTGCGTGGCCGCGCTCCGGTAACGGGTGTGCAGGGCCGCAATCCCGGGCCCGGACTCGGTTACCACCAGTCTCCCGCCAGCAGACAAAATGGCGGCCGTCTCCTCCTCACACATCGAGGACCGTACCAAATACGAGGATGGGGGGAAGACAGGTCTCCGGGGCGAACAGGAAGGCTAACCGGGGATAACCGGGAGTACAGTGGTACATAGGATGGGGAGAGATGACGGGTGGGGCTTCAGACACACCAGAGAACCGAGAAATTAGGCATCTGGACCTCCCGGGACCGGCGAGAGGTGGTACAGTCCGCCCGAGGAACACACTGGCGCCAAACTAAACACTGAACTGAGTGTGTACAGAAGTATACAGTACACTCCGTGTATACACAGCCACTAGGGGCAGTGTGCGCTACACTCTATACTCAGCCACTAGGGGCAGTGTGCGCTACACTCTATACTCAGCCGTACTGTACACTTATACGATCACCTTGCTCTGCACAGCTGATCAACCCACTTAATACAGGGGACCGAATGCGGGCCCCGGACATTGCCAGAGCCACCGACAATTCTCAGTAAATGTAATGAAGCATGAAGATGGACAGAGAATACAGACACGCTACAGGAGATGACCAGAGACTGCGGACACAGTACAGGAGATGACCAGAGACTGCGGACACAGTACAGGAGATGACCAGAGACTGCAGACACAGGACAGGAGATGACCAAAGACTGCGGACACAGTACAGGAGATGACCGGAGACTGCGGACACAGTACAGGAGATGACCGGAGACTGCGGACACAGTACAGGAGATGACCGGAGACTGCGGACACAGTACAGGAGATGACCAGAGACTGCGGACACAGTACAGGAGATGACCGGAGACTGCGGACACAGTACAGGAGATGGACCAGAGACTGCGGACACAGTACAGGAGATGACCGGAGACTGCGGACACAGTACAGGAGATGACCGGAGACTGCGGACACAGTACAGGAGATGACCGGAGACTGCGGACACAGTACAGGAGATGACCAAAGACTGCGGACACAGTACAGGAGATGACCAGAGACTGCGGACACAGGACAGGAGATGACCAGAGACTGCGGACACAGTACAGGAGATGACCGGAGACTGCGGACACAGTACAGGAGATGACCAGAGACTGCGGACACAGTACAGGAGATGACCGGAGACTGCGGACACAGTACAGGAGATGGACCAGAGACTGCGGACACAGTACAGGAGATGACCGGAGACTGCGGGACACAGTACAGGAGATGACCGGAGACTGCGGACACAGTACAGGAGATGACCGGAGACTGCGGACACAGTACAGGAGATGACCGGAGACTGCGGACACAGTACAGGAGATGACCGAGAGACTGCGGACACAGTACAGGAGATGACCGGAGACTGCGGACACAGTACAGGAGATGACCGGAGACTGCGGACACAGTACAGGAGATGACCGGAGACTGCGGACACAGTACAGGAGATGACCGGAGACTGCGGACACAGTACAGGAGATGACCGGAGACTGCGGACACAGTACAGGAGATGACCGGAGACTGCGGACACAGTACAGGGGATGACCGGAGACTGCGGACACAGTACAGGAGATGACCGGAGACTGCGGACACAGTAGAGGGGATGACCGGAGACTGCGGACACAGTACAGGGGATGACCGGAGACTGCGGACACAGTACAGGAGATGACCGGAGACTGCGGACACAGTACAGGAGATGACCGGAGACTGCGGACACAGTACAGGAGATGGAGCAGAGACTGCGGACACAGTACAGGAGATGGAGCAGAGACTGCGGACACAGTACAGGAGATGGACCAGAGACTGCGGACACAGTACAGGAGATGACCAGAGACTGCGGACACAGTACAGGAGATGGACCAGAGACTGCGGACACAGTACAGGAGATGGACCAGAGACTGCGGACACAGTACAGGAGATGACCAGAGACTGTGGACATACTACAGGAGATGACCAGAGACTGCGGACACAGTACAGGAGATGACCAGAGACTGCGGACACAGTACAGGAGATGACCAGAGACTGCAGACACAGTACAGGAGATGACCAGAGACTGCAGACACAGTACAGGAGATGACCAGAGACTGTGGACATACTACAGGAGATGGTCAGAGACTGCAAGCACAGTACAGGAGATGACCAGAGACTGCGGACATACCACAGGAGATGGTCAGAGACTGCGGATATACTACAGGAGATGGTCAGAGACTGCGGACATACCACAGGAGATGGTCAGAGTCTGCGGACATACCACAGGAGATGGTCAGAGACTGCGGACATACCACAGGAGATGACCAGAGGCTGCGGACATAGTAAAGGAGATGGTCAGAGACCAGGCCTGGACTGGCCATAGGGCACAATGGGCATTTTCCCAGTGGGCCGGGGCAGCACATAGAGGAACCAGTCTGTGCATTTCTCGGTTCCTCTATGTGCCGCCCCTCTTATCCATCTCTTGCATGCCCTGGGCTCCTGTATGCGGCCATCCCCAATCTCCTGCTGTCGTGTTCTCCCCTCCCTGTAGCTGCTGTGGAGGATCTTTAAGGATAGACTGTGTCCAGTGCTGACAGTTCCCCACCAACCAGAGATGGGGGAGGAGAGAGAAAGCTGCCCCTCCTCCTCCCGTCCTCTGCTCCTGTGTCTGCCCCACCCACACACCTTTCTCTCCTTCCTTATTTCCCTCTTTCTTTCTTTCCCTCCACCTTCCCTCTTTCCCTCCTCCTTCCTTCTTTCCCTCCTTTCTTTCCCTCTTTTTTCCTTCTTTCCCTCCTTCCTTCTTTCCTTTTCCCCTCCTTCCCCCTTCTTTCTTTCCTTCTTTCCCTTGTTCTTCCCCCCTCCCTTATTTCCCTATTTCTTTCCCTCCTTCCTTCTTTCCCTGCTTCCTTTTTTCCCTCCTTTTTACCCTCCTTCCTTCTTTCCCTCCTTCCTTCCTTTCCTTCTTCCTTTCTTTCCTCCTTCCTTCTTTCCCTCATTCCTTCTTTCCCTCCCTTCTTTCTTTACCTCCTTCCTTCTTTCTTTACCTCCATCCTTCTTTCCCTCCTTCCTTTTTTCCCTCCTTCCTTCTTATCCTTCTTCCCCTCCTTCCATCTTTCCCCTTTCCCTTCTTCCTTCTTCCCCTCCTTCCTTATTTCCCTTTTTCTTTCCCTCCTTCCTTCTGTCCCTCCTTCTTTCTTTCCCTCCTTCTTTCCCTCCTCCTTCCTTCTGTCCCTCCTTCCTTCTTTTCCTCCTTCCTTTTTTTCCTCCTTTCTTCTTTCCCTCCTTTCTTCTTTCCCTCCTTTCTTCTTTCCCTCCTTTCTTCTTTCCCTCCTTTTTTCTTTCCCTCCTTCTTTCTTTCCCTCCTTCTTTCTTTCCCTCCTTTTTTTCCCTCCTTCCTTCTTTCCTCCTTTTTTCCCTCCCGCCTTCTCTCCCTCCTTCCTTCTGTCCCGCCTTCCTTTTTTTCCTCCTTCCTTTTTTTCCTCCTTCCTTCTTTCCCTCATTCCTTCTTTCCCTCCTTCCTTATTTCCCTCCCTTCTTTCTTTCCCTCCTTCCTTAGTTCCCTCCTTCCTTCTTTCTTTCCCTCCATCCTTTTTCCCTTCTTCCTTCTTTCCCTCGTTCTTCCCCTTCTTCCTTATTTCCCTTTTTCTTTCCCTCCTTCCGTCCCTCCTTCTTTCTTTCCCTCCTCCTTCCTTCTCTCCCTCCTTCCTTCTTCTCCTCCTTCCTTTTTTTTTTTCTCTCCTTCCTTCTTTCCCTCCTTTCTTCTTTCCCTCCTTTCTTCTTTCCCTCCTTCCTTCTTTCCCTCCTTCTTTCTTTCCCTCCTTTTTTCTTTGACTCTTTCTTTCTTTCCCTCCTTCTTTCTTTCCCTCCTTCCTTCTTTCCTCTTTTTTCCCTCCCGCCTTCTCTCCCTCCTTCCTTCTGTCCCGCCTTCTTTTTTTCCCTCTTTTCTTTTTTTTTAGATGTCAGGGCCTCTTTCCAGTGGCCGTAAAAGACGATACTCCAAAATGGACAGACCATTAGATGGTGAAAGTTTTGACACTCTGCACCCAAGTACGCTTCCACAACAGTGGATCAATGCCCATAAAATAAAAAGAATGTATACATGGCGAAGTATGCCCAAAAAACTCCTTTATTCTTTCAAATCAACAGTTCACATTCAAAAAAGATTCTGATTCAAGATAAAAAGCACTTTGCTTACATAAACAGCGATATGGAAAGCTGATGGCTCCAGCATGGAAAGACGGTCAACTCGGCCGGTGACACGCTATACCCCCGAATCCCTCGGAAGACATTTGTACAACGAAACATGTAGGGCAGGGCTTGATGTAAGCAGGGAGGGTGATTGGCATGGGGGGGCAATTACTGATGTAAATTCACTATGATATAAGTATTTGATTTTTATTGTTTTTTATGTTTGTTCACTAACGCTAATATTTTGGGTGTTTTTTATGTTTTTTCACTTGGTGTCACAGTGATTAACAGCTGCTTTATTTTCCATGTTTTTCATCTTAGCACAGATATATTTTTTTTTATACTACAAAAATTGTTGGAGACTATTGGCATGCTTTAGGGGACAAGGATAGACCCGGAAACACATTCCATGAGACTGTTAGAGATCTTTGTTTTGACTACAGGCTGGGTACCAGGGGTATACACTGACAGGATACAGAGTGTATACACCACACATCTGCACTGTACAATAACATCTGGGTTTCGATATGCTTTCTCTCCATACATTATACTGCACTGCCCTGCAGATTGTATAGGCTTGGAAGCATTATGGTATTGTAAGGACCTCCAGTGTGTGATCTAGAGTATTACAGGTTTCACTTGGGAAGCCTTCGGCACAGTGAAAGTGCTACATAAAGCGTGGTCCACAACTTTATTGGGGCTTTAGTTATTTACCAATAAGTTACCTCTAATGCTATGTGATGGCTGCTACTTCTTTTTTTTTTTTTTAAATGTTACTTAAAAGCCTGTGACAATGATGCCACTGCTGTAGTTATGATGATTAAACTGACAGTTTTCTGAATGGGGGAGATGCACAGTGAGTGACCTGCTGCGACTGTTGTGCTCCAGCCCCCCACTGTCAGTTTCACTGCCAGAACTTCAGCGGTGACATTGCAGTCAAGCTGCATGTAGGTAACATTTCTCAGAGCAGCAGCCACCAATGGGGCACACATCCTTAGAGGTACCTAGCTAATGCCCCAATAAAGTTTTTTTGCCCACACTTCAGTTTCAAGGATGTGGGTCCAGAGAAATGTTCCTAAGCTTAACATTCTCCATGTTATTTAAAGGATAACTGTTCTTTAGAGTTTTCTGTTAAAGTGTTACTAATCCTAGGACCCTGCATTCACTATATCTGCTCTCCCCAGACCCTGCATTCACTATATTTGATCTCCCACAGTACACACAACATGGAAATGCAATTATTTTAGTAAATATAAACTGCTAAATACCTTTTTTCATCAGAAGTATATAGCAGTCTTGTGACTTGTATTAGTGTCCATCACAGCACTGGTTAAAGCTTGTAGGAGGAGTTTTCATTCTTCCCTGATTGTCCTATGAGGCTACAGGACCCCTGACCCTCTGTCTCGACAGTGCTGGTTGGCCCTGTGATGATCACATGCACTCTCCCATGAAGAAAAAAAAATAGCTATACACGCTAAACTGAGCATGTGCAGCTTGCCTCCAAGGCTCTGTTCTATTAGGAGATGGATTGGGGACATTACAAGCAGGGGAGCATCAGAGAAGATTGGATCAAACAGCCTTTTTACACAAGGCAGAGGATTATCCCCTAAGGTTTCACAGTGAGCATAACAAGCATGCAAAAATTCCTGTCGAATGCCCCTCTACCACTATCTCTTGACCAACCTAAAACATTGAATAACATGCCTGAAAGACATGAAATGCACACATAAACTAATGGCAGCAGAGTGGCTTAATGGTTAGCACTTCTACCTGGCAGTACTAGGGTCACTGGTTCAAATCCCACCTGCCTGGAGTCTGCCCTGTGCTTGCGTGGGTTTCCTCTGGGTACTCCTGTTTCCTCCCACACTCCAAAGACATGCTGGTAGGTTAATTGGCTCCTGTCTAAATTGGCCCTAGTATGTGTATGTATGAACCAATTCACAAAAAGAACATTGGGAAACTGGAGAAAGTGCAGAGAAGGGCAACCAAACTGCTAAGAGGCATGGAGGAGATCAGCTATGTGGAAAGCTTAGAGGAACTGAATTTATTCTCTCTTGAGAAGAGGAGATTAAGGGGGGATATGATCACCATGTATAATACATAAGGGGGATATGATCTCCATGTATAATATATAAGGGGGATATGATCACCATGTATAATACATAAGGGGGATATGATCACCATGTATAATACATAAGGGGGATATGATCACCATGTATAATACATAAGGGGGATATGATCACCATGTATAATACATAAGGGGGATATGATCACCATGTATAATACATAAGGGGGATATGATCACCATGTATAATACATAAGGGGGATATGATCTCCATGTATAATACATAAGGGGATATGATCTCCATGTATAATACATAAGGGGGGGATATGATCTCCATGTATAATACATAAGGGGGGATATGATCTCCATGTATAATACAAGAGGAGGGATATGATCTCCATGTATAATAAATAAGGGGAGGATATGATCTCCATGTATAATACATAAGGGGGATATGATCACCATGTATAATACATAAGGGGGATATGATCACCATGTATAATACATAAGGGGGATATGATCTCCATGTATAATACATAAGGGGAGGATATGATCTCCATGTATAATACATAAGGGGGATATGATCTCTATGTATAATACATAAGGGGGATATGATCACCATGTATAATACATAAGGGGATATGATCTCCATGTATAATACATAAGGGGGGATATGATCTCCATGTATAATACATATAGAGGGGATATGATCTCCATGTATAATACATAAGGGGGGATATGATCTCCATGTATAATACATAAGGGGGGGGATATGATCTCCATGTATAATACATAAGGGGGGATATGATCTCCATGTATAACACATAAGGGGGGAAATGATCTCCATGTATAATACATAAGGGGGGATATGATCTCCATGTATAATACATAAGGGGGATATGATCACCATGTATAATACATAAGGGGGATATGATCTCAATGTATAATACATAAGGGGGATATGATCTCCATGTATAATACATAAGGGGGGATATGATCACCATGTATAATACATAAGGGGGATATGATCACCATGTATAATACATAAGGGGGGATATGATCTCCATGTATAATACATAAGGGG